AACTTTACTTTCATGAGCTGAAAAACAACAACGCGCTGTAAAATGGATTCGAGTAGTGCGACGAAAACAAGCGCACACTAGTCCAGACACACCGGCCGGAAGGATTCCCTAATTCCTCGTCTATTTTACTCCAAATGGGCCGTAAATGACCAAATAATCATCACGCTGTATTGAAGAAGACTTGAAAGGAGCGTTTGAAGCTACAAACTAACATTTATCATGTTTCTTGAGGGAATAAATCGGCTCCTACACAATCTTCTGAACCGCGAGCCCATTAAAGCAAAAGAAAGGTTAGAAAACATGTGCTGAGTGGATGATTAAAGTAAATAAAGTGGTTGCTCGCCACCCGGCACATGACCCTCTCGCCATCGCAGCTATCAGTTTTCTTTTTCAACCGTTTTCTATTTTCCCTTCACACTTTTCTGCTTTCGCGTGTGTGTGTTTGTGCGCGCGTGTGTGTTTGTGCGCGCGTGTGTGTTTGTGCGCGCGTGTGTGTTTGTGCGTGCGTGTGTGTTTGTGCGCGCGTGTGTGTTTGTGCGCGCGTGTGTGTTTGTGCGCGCGTGTGCGCGGCGATATTAATCCAGACAGTAAATGTCTTTTGGCTCAGACCCGATCGAAACAAGGCTTAATTATTCCCTTATTTCCCTTTGTTATCAGTCTTTGGTTCTCTCGGCCTCACAGTCAGAGTATAAACTACATTTGTAATCCAGTGTTTCATCACAGATCGTTTTTATTGATCACACACGTTGAGCAGAAAACCGCCTAACAGAAACCTTTACCTTTATCAGTATTAAACTGAACTTAAGAGCAACTGAGGAGGGATGTATATTATGTGTATACATATATACACATATGTGATGTCACAAACCGCTTAATAAGAGACCAAAGACGCAGCATCTCTGACGTCACAGAACTAACAAATAAATATTGTGGATGGAGGTGAGGTTCCTCTCCGCCTATCGCCACGTCTCATTCTGTCTTTATTAGTTCAAGTTGAAAACACAAGGATCAAGGCCCTCTGCATCTCACACACACACACACACACACACACACACACAATGCACATAGCGGGCTCATTAAACTAACTTCTGGGAAATCTTGTGATCGGGGATTCTTTGCTTCAATTCCCTGCGGATCACAGTGTCTCCAACAGCTTTTCAACCACACACACACACACACACACACACACACAGACACACACTAGCTGGTATGTGCTGTTACAATATCATTTCACGGACTCACATGGTCCAAGTTAATCAGCTCTACGTAAAGTAGCTGCCAGGTCATCCGGGGAGGATTTATTCCTGTTTTTGGAATAATCATATGATGACTGGCTCTCTTCCTCTGGTTGGAAAACATGTGTGGCCTCATCATCATCATCATCATCATCAGGAGCAGCAGCAGCATCCAAACACACACATCATCTGCAATAAAACACACAGTGAGGCTCAGGTATTATTGACACTGTTCAATATGTTCCAGCTGCGCTGAAAAACATCAGTCACATTCTTTATTCGGACCACACACACACACACACACACACACACACACACACGCACACTAGCTTTCATTAACATATTGGCTGTGCAGTATCAGTCCTTTTATCCCAAACTGAGGGAAGTATTTTAATGGGAAGCACATGACCGTAAAATCCTGGTTTAGATGACAAGACTCCTTGTAGCTGCACACACACACACACACACACACACACACACACACACACACACACACACACGCGCGCACACACACGCACATACTGGAAATCCCGTAAAAGCTCAAACAAAATGTCTTTTGTCTGTGGGTTTATTTGTCCAGGAGAAGAAGAAGGTCTCAGATACATTAAAAACACACATACTTTGTTGTTAATGCGGCTTTAACGGCATTAAAGCACAACAACAAACGCACACACACACACACACACACACGTCAGCGGGGAAAGTACCGCCGTGGCTGAGAATCACAGGGATGAGACGAGGAAACAAAAGCCAGTGGATGGAGAGAGTCCAGACGAGGGAGCAGGACAGAAATAGACAGAAGTGGAGGGAAAAAAGTGCTTCAACCAGATTGGTCTCATTTTCCTGCACTTGAGACTGAACAACAGAGCTTTCTGTTAAACATTCATCTGGTTTTCTATCTCTCACACACACACAAGCGCACACTAAAAGTCTCGGCAGGGTTTTCCATCGTGGATTAAACATTGCTGGCCTCGTTCTCTCTGATCTCGTGGTATCTAAAGAAGAAAAACTCCCCCAAAAAGGTTCCTCCTTTCAATGTGAGGCGCTGCAGACAAAGGCCTCGTTTTCACTCCGCAGGTCAATTTCACTCGAGACTAGAAGAAGAAAACATTCAACGTAAGTTGGTTAAATGATCCCCTGCCTCTTAACTTAATAATAAGCTGAAAGCACCTGATGCGATTATCTGAAACGCCTCCGAGGGAAGAAGGTAAACATGAATAACAGCAACTGATCATTTGAGTGATAAACATTCTCTCCACTGCGACTTCTCGTGCTGCAAAAAGAAGTCAGCCTGTATAAAAGTCAATTGGCTTATTGTTTAATTCCCTCAGGAAACATTATAAACTGCAGCTCATGGTTTCGCCCGCTAGTTTAAAGGCTTTTTTTTTCAAACACACCATGATGTTAATTTAACAATTTATGGTCCATTTAGAGTCAATTAAACCAGAAACGAGCTGTAATCAACAACACATCGTGGACCAGAATGGCCTGAAGTCGTCCCGACTCGAGTCACAAAGCTCTGGGACCTTTAACACCCCCACCCCCCCCCCCCCCCCACACGACATTGCATATCTTGGAGGTGTTTTTAAACCATTGTTAGCCTCCAAAAGAAGGAAGAGATAGAGACTCTCTTTGTTTGCGTATATCTTCTGGGCGGCAGTTTACGTATCGGCTTTTAGGAAGAGAAACACACCCAAGAGGCGGCTTGCATTCGCTCAATCGAAGGGGGAGAGATAGGAGCGGTTTTTAAAAACAAAAGAAAGAGAGAGAGGGCTCATCTTGCAATGCGCCCCTTTACATATTCTCGAGCCAGTGAGAAGACACGCGGGGGGGAGGAAAAAAAAAAAGGGGGGGGAGTCTCTACTCGAGGTTTGGAAAACGTGTCCTGTTCTCAGAATCTGTCAATAATATCGAGATGAAACGAGAGGGGAGAAAGTGAGGGGAGAAAAGAGAGACGGTGGAGGAGATTTGAGACGCGGGAATCAAAGAACCGTTGGAAGGGGCTGTGCACACACACACACGCACGCACACACACCCACACACACACACACACACACACACACAGCCTAAGACAAGCTTCATGGTATTAAAAAACAAAGACGAGGGGAAAAGGCACACACACACACACACACACACACACACACACGGCAGCACTATTAATAGAGAATCTTCTATCCTCGTCTACTCAGCAACCGCAACATTCTCCAGATACACACACACACACACACTCACACACTCACTCTGCACTGCGGCCGCACCGACACGGTTAGAGAGGAAATGAAGGCCGCCGTGAGGAGGAGGAGGAGGGGGAAGCTTCGGCGTGCATGTGCAGCTCAGCTGCTGGGATGAAAGCGGAGGCCGTTTATATATATATATATATATATATATATATATATATATATATATATATATATATATATATATATATATATATCCGACATAGACGGAGGAGGACAAACGGGAGGAGCCGCGATGAGCTTTAGGGTTCTTTAACTCGTCCTGAGTGTTTCCTGGTGCTCAAGTTAATATTGTGTTACCTTGTTCCAGAGGTGAGATCCTTTGATTGGGTTAAAGTATAAATATCATAGTCCAAAAACACTGAAACCTTCTCACAGAGCCTTTAGTATTGAATGCACGCTCCTTCATTTCGGATGCACGATGAGCAACGTGTAGAAAGCATGAAAACTCATTGTGCAGCTTACAAAACGTAATAGAATATTATAACGTCTTTGTAACTCTAACAAATGCATGCAAAAATGAAACAAGAGTGAAATACATTTTCTACGACATCCGATCTTTGCTGATGTGTCTTCCGGTTGTCAGCGATCAACAGGAAGATGATGTTCCGGCCCGGCTGATGATTAGATGGTGTGAGATAAATCCACCCCACAGTTTCCTATAACCATGAACACATACGTGTTCTACGCGCTGCACAAACACGGGGCCAAAGGTCGCTGAGCGTTCAGGCATATTGGTGCCGACTTGCAGCTACGAGAGGAAGTTTTAGTGTCTTGTGGTCTTAAAATGCGAAGCGGGCTAATCAGCCGACTGTGTTTCCTGCTGAGCTTCACTGTTAGTCAAAAGAGTGCTTGGTAACAGCTTATCTCAATGGCGCTCAGCTACAGGATGTGAAGTCGTGATTTTATCGCACGTTTGCCGCAAATCATTAGAGAGACAAACCCTAGCAGCATTTTAAGGATGAAAATGTATTCACCTGAGAGCAGATCACTCCTCTCACTCCATGGAGGAAGTTCACAAGTCAAGAGTTTCGCATCGCTTGCTTGACAAATCAGATATTTTCTCCATTTCACTAAAGTGCGGCCCGTTTTCATCACGAGCGCAGTTCAAAAAGTCCAACTAAAGTTTTTTGTTTGAACGCCACCATCCCGTTCCTGACCCGTAATAATAAACCGGCTGTGCTTGAGGGATCAGCAGAGACACACTGCACAGTATTAGAGAGGAAACATTCCACACATGGTTGGTGGTTCTGGCAACCTGGCTGCTTGGCACGTCCGTCTCCCCTGTGTGTGTGTGTGCGGGTAAGTGCGTGTGCGCGTGTGTTTCCTTGGCAGCACTACACGCACTCCAATGTCACGGTTGTCTTCAACATCTGTCCACTTGGAGAATCACCCAGCAGGCTTTCCGCACAGAGCACCGCGGTCTTCTGCCTCAGCCCCGCCCACAACATGCGCTCAAACCGCCCATTGGCTCGAACGGTCGCGGCCCCGCCCACCGGCGGAGTAGTCAGACTACCACGGTAAGAAATGAAGCGGCGGCCCTAGTGAGTCTCACAACAGGAGGTCTCCCGCCGGAGGGGTTCTTCACACGGAGTCTGCGGAGATGTGGAAAGCCGCCGGTGGACCGAAGGGCTCCTCCAGCCCGGCCGCCGCCGCCGCGGTCACCTGTCTGCTCGTGACCGGGACGCTGCTCGTCACCGTCGGACACCGGGGCGGCGCGGGCCCGGTGGAGCGCCCGGTGCAGCCTGCGGTGGCTGCTGCTTCTTCTTCTTCTTCTTCTTCTTCTTCTTCTTCTTCTTCCTCTTCCTCTTTGTTGGAGAGCAGCAAAGCCTTCTCCACTTACTTCAGGAAACTGACCCGGGAGAGACGCGCGGTAAGCGGCCCGCCGAGGAGGAGCGGCCCCCCCGCGCCGGTGGAGCGTCTCTCCGCGGCCGACCTGTTCATAGCGGTGAAGACCACCGGGAGGTATCACCGGACCAGACTGGACCTCCTGCTGGACACCTGGATCTCCGCAAACATGCAACAGGTGAGCGGGGATTTGGAAGCGATAAAGCGGGATGTCCTGCGGGAGGACTTCGGGGACGGAAAGTCCCCGTGCAGCGGAGACAAAAGGAACGGGACTTTACTGTAATAATGGAGAAGCTGGTAATATGAGTCATTCACAAAGTGAATAATCGTACTTATTTTAAGCAAAACCTTTTTAACACAATAGAGGGAACTAACTGTCCCGCAGACTTCCTCTGTGCGCTTAAAGGATCAAGTGAAAGAAATAACAACCTCATAATAATAAGATGACGGAAAACGTTAATTTGTCTTGTCGTCACTTTAGTCCCCGAGGGGTCAGGGGTCAGGGTGGACATGGGCATCTTTCATGATGTGGTGCAGAGTGTGATCCCGTGCTAATGGCCCCTGTGTCAAAGGGAGCCTACACGTGAAGGTGTCCCACCTGCAACCCACCGGCTCCAGGCTGTAAATCAGAGACCTCTGTAGTTCCCGTCGGGGGGATCCGAGGGCCAACAGCCTGCTAACGTGTTGACTTTAAACAAAAAGAGGACAGACTGAACTACACAGTCTTTCTTTATTTACCTCTTTCATCCTTTTAAAGCGGCCGATCGGACGCAGACGGGTTCCATTCAAACCCCCAAAGAGTTCGAGTGTCTCCGTCTCACGCTGCACACGGACTGTTGACATGTAAACAGAGCTCACGGCTGGAACTCAGCTGATCTGTGTGTGTGTGTGTGTGTGTGTGTGAGATGCATTCCTGCCTTTGCTCTCACGGTCAGGTGTGTGTCTGCGTGTGTAACTCTACCTGTTTCCCAAACACACCTCTGAGACTGCTGAGTAATGGAAACACAGCAACACACACACACACACACACAACCACACACACACTCTCTCTCTCACAGTGTTACCTTCACAGACACACACCCCCTGTATGGGAACTCTCAGGATTTCTCACGGGAAGTACAAAATGCGTCGGACCACACGAGTAAACACAAACGCACACGGACGCCACTTTCTCCTGCGCGGCGGGTGGTGGTTGCTGCCCTCCCCCCGCCCTCCCCCATCCTGACTCACACTGACTCACTATAGTTGACTGCTCTCTGGAGGCTTAAGAGGCTCAAACAGCAGAGGGGGGGGCTGACAAAACCCTCACAGCTGGCTGGACACACCGCAACACGTTTCCTCACACAGAACACGCAGCGAAGATTGTGTTATTGAATCTGTGCTGCCTGGCGGGAAGGTCGCTGAGCCCCCTGAGCCCCCCTCTCACTGAGGGGGGGGGGGGGTCTGTTACTCTTCTGTTACCCCAACCCCCCTTTCGGAAAAGAAAGGGCCACTAATGGGGTTGAATTGGGGGCGTTTGGGTAATTTGGGGAAATTTAAAATCTGATGAACGAGCCGTCGAGCGGGACGTCTCTTCGGGGGACACGAGAGTTGATGCAAACTTGAAAATGGATGAAAACCCTTTTGACGAGTGATCCGGTTGTCTGCGGCTCCCCGACGTCTGGGGGGCCTCAGCGCCCCGTTTGGCGCCGCGCCAAGGCCGCACTGCAGCAGCCCGGCGGGTATCGATCCGCTCGCTGAAGAGCTTAACGGACTTTGAGGACGTACATTTAATAGCATCTAAATGACCGTTTCTGGCGAGTGAAACTGCTGCTTATAGTCTCAGAGAACAGTCACCTTTTTGTTTTGTTTTTTCTGCTACATGTTTGGCCGTAAAACCAATTTCCATACGTCGTCTGTATGTTTGGCGCCGTTGTCCTGCTGCGTATCCGGACTGTAAAGAACAAGAACTCCACCGTTCACAGAGATGAATACTTCTCTCCTCGTCTCATCTCTGTTTACTGACAAGGCTCGCCATCGGCACCCAGGCCTGTGCGTTCGCTTCCTGTGGAAAGCCGAGTGGGTCTGCGCGGCTTCCCGAGCGCGCCGTGACCCCTGACCCCCGTCACTCGCCACAATAACGCTCCCACGGCCGCGCGCTCAGGACCAGCTGCTGCGCCGCTGACGGACGAGAGGCTTACCTTTTCAGTCCCAGCATCAGCGCGGCCTGCTGCTGCTGCTGCGGGTGATGACGCGTGAGCCAGGAAAGGGGCGGAGTCTCACCCCGAGGTCGCCGGCGGCCGTCCGCGAACGCCGGGGCGTGAGCTGAAATAACACCAACCGCTTGTTTGTGTTTTCTTTTCCACAGACGTTCGTGTTCACTGACGGAGAGGACGAGAAGCTGAGGGAAAGGATGGGTGAGCTGCACACACACACACACACACACACAGACAGAGACACAGACACACACACACACACAGACAGAGACACACACACACACACAGACACACACACACAGAGAGCAGTTCTGCTGAGTTGCAGCAGTGTTCTCTGCAGCGTGCGAGCAGGAAAACGGGCTCCAGGCTGCTGACTCGGCAATATTGTGTTTCCAAGAAGTGCAGGAAGTCGCTGCAGTTTTATCAGCAGGTCTTTCCTCGTGGAATTGTTTCAACTTTCAATGAGTTATTCTTCCCACTATCGGACGCATTGTACGAGCAGAAAATATTTTTTATTAGGATATTCTTCAGCAGCCTGCTTATGACAGCATCCAGCCGCGACAATTAATGTTTAAATAACTCTTTGCAAAGAGAAAACCGCCAAAATTCTCCAATTCCAGTGGATGCAAACAAATATTATTTTCATTGTTGGTTATTTTCTCCATAAAAATGTCCGAAAGTGGATGAATCGACAGTAAACAAGAGGATTGTCGCCCGATTCGGATCAAATGGCTTCACCGTGAAAGTCGCTTCATTGGTTACTGATCGTTCTTCATTGATTCACCAGGAGCTCAACTCATCAACACCAACTGCTCAGCGGCTCACAACCGGCAGGCCCTCTCCTGCAAGATGGCCGTGGAGTACGACACCTATATCCAGTCCGGCAGGAAGTAAGACTCAGTGCGCGCACACGCACGCACACACACACACACACACACACACAGAGGCCTTTACCAACCCCCCCCCGCCCCTCCCTCCCTCCGTCCATCCGTCAGGTGGTTCTGTCACGTTGACGACGACAACTACGTGAACGTGGGCTCGCTGCTGAAGCTCCTGTCTCAGCACCGCCACGCGCGGGACGTCTACCTCGGCCGGCCCAGCCTGGAGCGGCCCATCGAGGCCGCGGGGCTGCTCGCCGCGGCTCACACGGTGAGAACAAGCTTGCTATCGATAAGAGCCGTTACGAGTGGTCACGGCCTCTAACTCGCCAGGCTTCTTTTAACGCGATCCTTCCCACAATGCGTGTTCGACAAGCTGTTAACGTCGGTTCCGTTGAGCTAAAGTCGCGCCGGCGGGTCTGTTTGTGCGCCGAAGCAGGCGCGTTTCTGGTTCGCCACGGGCGGAGCGGGATTCTGTCTGAGCCGCGGCCTCGCTCTGAAGATGCAGCCCTGGGCGAGGTAAAGTCCCCCCCCGCCCCCCGCTGCTCCCCTCTGAGTAGATCCACCATGAGCAGCTTCTTTAATGTCCCACACACACACACACACACTCCTCCCTCTGTGCAGCGGCGGCGCCTTCGCGGCCACGGCCGACCACATCCGCCTCCCGGACGACTGCACCGTGGGCTACATCGCCGAGGCGCTGCTCGGCGTGAGCCTCACCCGCTCGCCGCTGTTCCACTCGCACCTGGAGAACCTGGGCCTGGTGTCGGACATCCACAACCAGGTACACGCACGCACACACACACACACACACACACACGCAGGTTTAGTGACCCTCTGAACAGCTGGTGTTTGCCCCCCCCCCTTTAGGTGACCCTCAGCTACGGCACGGTGGAGAACAGCAGGAACACCGTCAGCCTGAGGGGGCCGTTCTCTGCCGAGGAAGACCCCACCAGGTAGAACTCGCCGCCGCCTCGGCGTGATGACGCGTGATGACTTGTGATGACACGTGATGACCGGTGATGGCGCGTGATGGCGCGTGATGGCGCGTGATGGCGCGTGATGGCGCGTGATGACGCGTGATGACGCGTGGTGACGGGGGATGACTTGTGATGCCGCGTGATGGCGGCCCAAAGCGACGAGGCCGAGCCCACCTCGCGTTGTCGGGGAAAAGAAGTGGAAAAAACAGAACGTTCCGTTTCATTATCTCGTGAAACTAGGGGGAGGTTGTTTTTTGTTTTCTCGCCGGTGAATCACTTTCTCTCTCACAATCTGTGAGTATTTTTAAAACTCAGAACATTACCTCGTTACTTGTGTGAACACAAAGGGAGACCTTCCGCCCCGAACATTGAACAAGGAACGACATCACAGGCAAACGAAACCACTGGCGGGATAAAACTGAGAGCGATCTCATCGTCGGCGCTTTCCTCCCATTAAGGGAACTTACTTCTTATTTGTTCCGCTTCCCGTCTCTCCTTCGCTTCCTTCGTCCTCTCTTTGCCTCGTCGTGTATCCATCGGGGGTGATCGCCGTTAGCGCTGCGGCTCGTGCCTTTCGGGCCGGAGGGAATGCGATGAGCTCGCTGACCTTCTGGTGGAAAAAAAACAGTCGATTCTGTTTATTGTACTTCTTCAAATCTGCAGCAGCTGCGTCAGTTTCAGGAAGCGCTTTATTTTTCAGAACATGTGTACTACAATGCTCCTTTATGTAATCCCTTCTCACGTGTGTATGTTTTTACTACAGCGACGGGCTTCCTGGCTTTGTGCATTGTGTGTGTGTGTGTGTGTGTGTGTGTGTGTGTGTGTGTGTGTGTGTGTGTGTGTGTGTATTCACTTATTTTGAAATCCCCAGTCGGCGGCTTCCAGGCATTGTGACACTGGCTTCCCCTCTCTGTCTCAGGTTCAGGTCGGTCCATTGTCTGCTGCACCCAGACGCCGCTCGCTGCCCGGGACCCCCGCCGCTGTAACGCCGGAGACGGGAGGAGGAGGAGGAGGAGGAGGAGGAGGATGAGGAGGAGAGCGGAGCGCCTTGGTTCACCCGACGTGTCCAGGAATGGGGGAGAAGGAGCCTCGCTTTATCTCTGCCTGGGTGGGAGAGTGACCGGAGCTCTCCCCCCCCCCGGGGGAGCGTTGCTCCGTGTCAGAAGGCCCAAAAAAAAAGCTGCCGCGAGAGAAGAAGACTTGTGGATGAAAAAGGCGGAGAGACGGCTCCTCGTTTTACACCCTGAAATCTGAATCAGATCAATCACAAGAACCTCTGGTTCAAAAAGGTCATTTGATCGTTCGCCGTAATGTTGAACCGGGTGGACGTCTCCAATGGGGGGGCGGCAGTGTTTTGGTCTCTGAAACAAGGGGACGAGAGACGAGCCCACAGAAGCAGAGGCTGGACTGCAGGCGGCTCCCGCCCCCGTCTGAAGGACCGCTCTGATGTTTACGATGCGCACAGCGGTGAAAAGATGCAGGATGGGTAGTTCCACCTGCTCAGCGTTCACTATTGTCTTTTCTTTGAACTGTACCATCATGCCTGAGCACTTTGCTCTTTTTATTCCTGCTTTTTGCATTTCACATTTTAAAATAATACCTTTTTTTTTTTTTTAAATTAGACTGGACGAGAGTCCGACTACGGGATTATTTGTGCGTTTCGGGAGGAGCAGATTTAAGCTGATTCGGTTCCGCCCTCTTTGTGCTACGCTAAGCTAACCGGCTGCAGACACCAGAACAGGCTGTTCTTCTGAAAACAAATCACACGTTGTCCACTCATCCGATGAGGCCTCCTACAAATGAGTAAAAAAAAATTTAAAAAGCCGCCATGGTGTCAGACTGCTTGTGAAAGGTCTCGCACCGCGGCGGCGTCACAAGGAATGACTCATGTTGGGTCGTCTTCTGTCCTTCTGCGCGTTGAAGGCACATTCTGTCCCTTTTAAGTGAACGTATGCGATGAAGCGCACGCGCTCGCTCTCCAGTATCTGGACCCTATGAAGACGCACAATAAAAAGAAAGGCTCGTCCATTAACGCGTGAGTGTGTGTCTCTCTGATTGTCAGCCCGGGGATTTCAAACAGGGTTGTTAGGGACATCCCCCCCACCTTTGACCTTTGACCTTGTTTATGAGGCTTTGGGTTCCTGTCCGAACCCCTCCACACCCTGCATCCGAGACCCCCACAACAACAGCCGCCCTCTTATCTGATAGAGCCGTGCATAAGGCCCTGCAGAGATAAAGGCACAACCAAAACATTGGCTGTGTGTGTGTGTGTGTGTGTGTGTGTGTGTGTGTGTGTGTGTGTGTGTGTGTGTGTGAGCTGTTACTGGGCGACATCTGCTGGTTGCATGTGTTACTTCTACTGGTTTGGTTTGTTAAACTCTGCTCTGCTCTAAATAGGGAAATAAAACCAGGACGTTTAAATTCAGAATCAGAAAAAAATGTATCACATCTCGTGACGATATAGAAATCCTGTCATCAATCAGGTGATTGGACTCCAGACGCAGTCAATCACCCACCTGTGCTTCTCAGAAGGTCTCCTGAACATTTCTTTCTGGGTTTTGGAAGTGAATCACGCTGCACCTCAGGCGTGATGATCTCTGTGATACACGAGTAACTGACTCCGATATGTTTGTTTAATTCACTGCACAGTTCACACATGTGGCCAGATGTGTAGAACATGGAGGGCCTGTGGGAAATAGTTTCTACAGTTTAGGCTGAAATCAATTTATTGCCAGTTTATTGACAACTGAAGAGACATTTTTGTAATGAAAAATAATACAGCAGTCGTAAAACAAGTGGAACCATTATGTGCACTAATACTGAGTGGAGATTAATGGAGATAACAACCTCGTTTTGTCAAACCCAGTCACTCTGTCTGATAGAATTGGATATTTATATATAATATATATATGTACACGAGTTCTTCCAAAACTTCACTTCAGTTTCTGAGCTTTAATGGAATGCTTCTGTGTCGTTTCAATACACATGTTCGTTCATCCACGTTCAAAAACAACCTGCAGTCTCAATCAGTATGTTAAAGTTGCTTTAATTTTTTTTTAAACATTTATTCCAGGCTGAATGATATCGTTACCACAGTTTTGACATGTACATCATTAATATCGCAGTTAAACCACCGGAAAATAAAAACAGCCATAGAAAACAATGTTTGTCCGTCACATCTGGACCGAGGTGTACGTGAAGTCCTGTAACCAGCACCTACACATACAGACGCTCAGACATGAGCTGGACCTTTTTTTCCTTTAACCCTCCATGACAGAACGCCTCAGATCGGTTAAACCCCAGAAAGCGTCTCACAGGAATTCAAATACAACTTTTAAGTCAGCTGTGCAGACGACACCGGAATAGTTTTATTAAAACATTGCAAGACAGAGAGTCATTCACCATTAATAAGAGAGGAAAAACGCTGCTCTTGCCTTTGTTCTCCTAAAAAACAACTAGCTATTGTTTTACCTTTAAAGTTTGACTTTATTTTTTTACAAGACAGAGAGAAAAAGAAAAAAAAAAACGTGATATGAAGAGTGTTGTAAGAGTTTTAAAAACATTACGAAAGGCCATTAATCCGTGACTAGTCCAACAGATCCTAACATTGTTCGCATTTATGGTGCAATAAAAACAAAAAAAGGCCCTCAGTAAAGTACTAGACCATAGGTAGCATTGTTACCATAACATGGACGCCTCTCTAGTAACACCACGCAAGATTGTCTCGCTTATACGAGAAGTGGTCATTGATTAATAATAGAATATTAAAATGCTGTACAGGAATGGTCTCTGAAACGTGGCTACTACACTACCTACTAATCACCCACAATGCAAATGGTTATCAGCCGTGGGAGGGCGTGCCGGTACTACGGCTCAAGGTGTGAACGGAAGCGGGACAGGAGCAGGGTGGCAAACAGTGTGTGTGTGTGTGTGTGTGTGTGTACTGTACTCACACACAGTAACACTGAGATAGAGCAACAGCCAATCACGGTGCAGCAAAGTCTCTCACACACACACACACACAAGCGGGTTTACGGATAGTCTTTAAACACTGTACAGAGTTTTACTGGCAGTGTGTTTTACTTCTTCAGCTCGGAAAGTCACCTCAAAGAGTTTGTGCTTGTGGATAAAAAAAAAAAAAGAAAGAAAGAAAAAGAAAGAGAAAGACTGGTGGTTAAAGGTCAATCAAAGGTCACCAGATAACAAAATCGAACTGTATAGAAGAAGAAACAGAATACTACTTGGTCACAGTATCACATCACATGAATTCAGCTTATGGTGAAACCAAAAAACACTTTCCTTCATCTTGAAACACTTTTTTTTTTCATTATTCATCAGGGAGATTTGTTTTCAGGATTTCTGTCATTCGGAAACACTGGAGGTGTTTTGTATTTGCTGCTTTTAATGTTCCTGATCACATGAACGCAAAACATCTAAAGAAATGATAAGACAACGTCTCTGTCCCTCCCCAGTGCGGAGCGTCTTCTGGGACCTCGACCAGCTTACGTAGCACCTGGCGAGTGGGAAGTCCTTTCCCGTTTCTCTCCACGCTTTTCTTTTTTTCTTCAAGTCTTTTCCCTTTTCATTTACAGCCGGAGGACAACGTTCCGCAAGACGAGGACAGAATCGGGCATTCAGAGTTTTTTGGCACATGTTGACCCTTTCTTATGGCCCTCGTCTCTCGCTTCCACTCCACGAGATTCAAAATCAGTTCACGTTCACTGAGCGCCACGTGCACTTTAAATACACGTGCACAAATACAGAGAGAGAGATGCAGACACACTTTGAGCTCACGGTTCAAGTCTTAGTTAGAGGACGATGTTAAGCTAAAGCGGGTGTGGATGTTTTCTATCGAAACATGGCTTTCTAATTCACTGGCTTATTATCTATACACGTGTGTGTGTGTGTGTGTGTGTGTGTGTGTTTGTATGAGAGGGACACCTAAATACTTCCATTGTAAACACGCAGCACACCACATTACCAGTAATGATTTAACGGTCTACTTCTCAATCAGAGTACACGTTTACTATTTACAGGTCTGTACAGCGTGTGTGTGTGTGTGTGTGTGTGTGTGTGTGTGTGTGTGTGTGTGTGTGTGTGATCCGGATGTGTCACGGGATTGAGCGGTTCTGTCTTCACTTGGTGGGCGAGTGCACGGATCCCAATGGAGCGGGACATCATTGGAAGTTAGAAGAAGAAACGAGACCATCCCAGAGCCGTGGTGCTTTGCATTGTGGGACTTTGGACCGCTCGCAAGAGTACAGATTGCGATCCTCTGGAATGGGCTTCGGCTTCTTCAACTTGTTGATGATTCGGGGCGAGAAGCGGAGGTGGTTGCTTCGGCGAGGGAGTCGGGGGATGAGTTCTGACTTCCTGCGTTGTTTTGCGGTGAACCGGTTGGTGGAATGAGTTGGACCCGCTCTGGTGGCCGCTGAGTTGGATATTGTTACTGGCTGTGCACACTGGATTTAGGCAGTACTGTGTTGGACTGGTGCAGTTGTGGTCCCTAGTGGACTGAGGACTGGGGTCGGGCCGCCGGGTGAGCCCGGCTAGTCGGGTCCAGTTGGTCGTTGGGAACGGAGCGTCGGTTCTGGTCCGGTCGGTTGGTGGCCAGGTACTTGGCTCTCATACTGGAGGTGTACTGAAGAGATGAGGGTGAAGGGAACAGGAAGGAAGGAGGGGGGAGCGAAGGGGGTAATCGAGGGGGGAGAAAAGAGGAGGGAGAAAGTGAAGTATTCAGGGGAGAAGATAACAAAAAGAAAGGACATGTATTGATTATGACCAGGCCTTACTTACACTGGATATTAAAATAAGTACTCTAGGAATAGTTTAATAATGTACATTAAATCAGGAAGTGTGAATGGTTGTCAGTGGCATAGAACAATAGATACATAGATACATTGATTGATGGATAGAAATAGGTAGATAGATAGGTATGTCCTATCTATCTATCTACATAGGTATGTAGATATGTAGATATGTAGACAGATAGATAGATAGATAGATATAGATAGATACGTAGGTATGTAGATATGTAGACAGATAGATAGATAGATAGATATAGATAGATACGTAGGTATGTAGATATGTAGACAGATAGATTGATACGTAGGTATGTAGATATGTAGATATGTAGATAGATAGATAGATAGATAGATATAGATAGATACGTAGGTATGTAGATATGTAGACAGATAGATTGATACGTAGGTATGTAGATATGTAGATAGTTATAGATACGTAGGTATGTAGATATGTAGATATGTAGATAGATAGATAGATAGATATAGATATATAGATATGTAGATAGATATAGATAGATAGATATAGATAGATAGATAGATACGTAGGTATGTAGATATGTAGATATGTAGATAGATAGATAGATAGATAGATATAGATATATAGATATGTAGATATGCAGATAGATAGATAGATAGATATAGATATATAGATACGTAGATACGTAGATATGCAGATAGATAGATAGATAGATATAGAGATATAGATACGTAGATATGTAGATATGTAGATAGATAGATAGATAGATAGATAGATAGATAGATAGATAGATAGATAGATAGACAGATAGAGTGGATTACAGCGTGAGAGGCCACAAACACAGCAGAAATACTTTGAGCAGTCATTTGGACAGCCGGGGGTTTGATCACAACATTCCTCCGTCACAGTAGACTATGCGGTCTGGATGGTGTTATTGTGAATGAGCAGATGTGCTCCATCAGGTCAGTGGTTTGTAGTTAGTGCTCTAGTTCTGATGTAGTAGCTTGTTAGCCTGGTATGAGTTAGTGGTCTCTTTTGGGGCCCTTTGAAGGGCGGAAGCATGTGCTCCGGCTCAATGGTGAAGGGAGTGGAGTGGGGGGGGGGGGGCACAGAAACAGAGGACACGTACACCTCGACAGGAAAATGCACACATAGACAGACTGTGGGAACAGGGGGTGGGGGGTGGGGTATTTAGAGGGGCGGGCTCAGAAAAGTGTCTCCTCTTCACTGCGGGGTACGGCCACTTGTGCCCTAGAAGGTGCTTACACGCCCCGAGGCTGCATCCACCATCGCTGAGCGAGCTGAGAGGCGACGTTTCAAAGCGCGGTGGAGACGAATGCGCCGCTACGAGGCCCGTTTACCACTTCGGGGGACTTGATTTTGGGGCGGCCCCAGTGGTCTCGCGGCCGCACTGCGTAGCCGGTGCGTGCTGCCTGCAACCACAGTCCCAGCAGCACCTCCCCAGAGCCAGGACTGTCCACACAGCTCAAGCGAGACGGGCAATTCGAGACACCGGCAGGACCGGCGGGATTGTGAAGAGGGAGAGGGGGGGAGGGGGGTGTCAAATGTAAAAAAGAAAACAGCAAAAGAAACCAAAGAGGTTGTATCAAGGACGACTCTGAAGCGGTCGTCGGCGGTGCACAGGCTCTCCTTGCGTGGCGCTGACGGCCGCAAGTGAAACCAACCAGACTGTGTACATCAGAAATAGAGGACAACAATTACACTTTTCAGAAGAGACGGGGACTCTCTTCTGATGCAAGTGCAACTTCTACCGACAACGGACTGCTTTTTCAAACATCCGGGTGATCCCGGGCTGCCAAAATGACCTCCAGAAAGCGATCCGTGATCACGCTCTAGTTTGAGCACAGAGGAGCCTTTGCAGTGGTGTAGGTGGGTGGGGGGAGGGGGGAGGGGGGGGGCACTACCTTCCAATATCCACACTAGCGTGCTATCGAAACAGCAGATAATCAATACAAGAACACTTTTTATATTTCGCCAGCTGTACTGTGGCTATTGGAAGATAGTGGAGGGAGAGTGTGGTCTAGAAAGTGTGCACTTACAGAGGGTGGAGGGGACTCCCTGCCAATCAGGGGGGTGTTCTCACACCGAGGGTTCTGAAAGTTTGCGTTCTGGCTCCTGCGTTATAGAATAAGAGGTTACTGCATGTGGTCGCCCTGCCACTGGTGCTCAGCTGTTCATTTCACGATGACGGACACTTCTCTATTTCCCAACCGGGACCGTGTCTCCCCATCTTATTTGTGTCCTAGTGCTTAATGTGTTCCAGTATTGAACAAGAAGGCTGGGATGTCAAATACAGGTTTTTCTGTACCTTGTAGCTTGATCCGGCCTGAGAAGTCTGGTTCTGAAATATTGGATTGCTTCCCAAGCAAAGTGAAATATCTCTAATCAGAAGTTGACTTCTCAGAGGAAACACGCAGATGGCATCAAGCGAAAGGTCTCTGGAGGGTCCTTTTTACACGATATGATTCTATCACAGCCCGCTGGCGTTCTTCCTCAATATTGGACCAAATTTAAAGAAATTATTGCCCACTTAGTAACTTAGACACAAGAACACGGGGAATCAGGGTCACGGGTGAAATATGACAACGTTACCGTTGGATGACTCTCTGACTAAAGGTCTCAGTATTATTGCTGAGTGAAGGACTTGAGCCTGGTAGTGAACATCCTCTCTTAACAATGCACAAAGGACAAACATTGTGTTTAACAACACAAATTGTAGAAAACAATATATTGGTAAATAACTATTAAAGGATTGGAAATAAGACTCAAAGATAAAATAGCTTCAAATGTCCCTTGCAAGCACAGTTTAACAGCAAGCCAAATTAAAGATGTTCCCTTGATCTCTGGTGTTTTTAAAATACAAATAGCAAAGAGATACATTGATCGCTCGTTATAAACAACACACATTAAGCATTATTCAGTATTTAAAGCTCTTTCAGCTTTAAATCAAATGTAAAAATCTTTATATTTAAAGGGCACATAAGCGTTTTATATGTTTTGGTCCATTATCTTTGAAAGACTAAGAACTGCCAAAACCTTCCCCAAAGAACAGTTCTGCTGAATGCTGCTGAACTCATTTCCTGTGTGGATCCGTTCTTCTGGCAGCTCACTCGTGTTCCTGAGTGTCAGATTCCACACGAAGACGCGATGAACCCTGACTGTAATCATGCAAAAATAACCTCACTTCACTTCACTTAACTAACCAATAAATACGAGCAAACATCCCGGCCAAGTGTCTAAAACTATTCTGTTTGGGGACCAAGCGTGATTATCTAGCACCCCAAAACTCTGCTAAATGCTTTGGAACATCTTCATCTTCAGCACATGGGATTTGTCAATGGACCAAAACATGAGAAACGTGCTCCTCTTAATGGTCCACAAACTCACAGGGCCTGTTTTTTAGGGGAGGGTGTGTGTTTCTGATTTCATCACATAGTACTCGATTATCTCACAGCTAAAATAGAAGCAGGCAGTGGCAGACTGGAGATGGACGTGCTACGTTCTCTCGCTGTATCCAGAGCAAGCGGACCTTTGGCAAACTGTAACGTAGCAAGCAGGGTGGAAGCGTTGACTTATGCTACGGCCACTTCTATTGGCTCGCTTGGAAACTTTGTGGGTGAAACAGGCAGACCGGCTGATGCAGCGGGCGGCACCTTGTTCTCTATCGGGATCAAAAGGGGAAAAGCAAGAGTGAGGTTTAAACCCACGAGCTATAGCCATATAGAGCAAAGACTGGCTGCATCCTATGGCAGGCAGTCAGCGTCGCTATGCTGCTAGTCTGGTACACAAGGCTGGGAGGGGTGGGGGGGGGGCGGTCGGGGCAAGCATTGGCTACCTAGTGTGTTGATCCTGCTAGCCTCTAACTAGCGGTGGGTGCTAACTCACATGTATTCAGTGACGGGGGCATTGCTGACAGTGTGGGCCGTGGCGGGCAGGCTAGCCTCGCTACCGTAGCTGGAGCCCCAGCTGTAAAGGCTGGGCATGTGAACGCGGTACAGGTTATCGTGCACGCCCCCCCGCGAGGCGCCCGACTCGTCCTCTCCGTCTTCCTCATCCGTCCTTCCATCGGTTCAGGGTAAGGGCAAGGGCACGAAAGGGCATGATGGATAGGAGAGGGGGGGGGGGGGTCCGAAACAGCGTGGCTGGTTTGGAAAAAAAACTACTTTCAGGCATCAAATGGTCAGAATTGTAAAAAAAAAAAAAAAAGGGGGCCAAAAACGCAACAGAATGGGGCATCAAATAAGAGATGTGCTGATTTGGAAGTTGGCTCTGTGGCTGGCAACCACAAAATACATACAATACTCATGCATATGCACACCACAATATAAAGAATATCTCTATCCGTCTCTAAGTGGTCTTAGCCACGTCTATAGCAGCTTGTCCACATATTGATACGGTCACATCGGGCCGCCAACGTTTCAAAGTAAAGCGTGAGGGAGCAGTATGAGGAACATCTGGCTCGGGGGCCCTGCAGGTATGTGGACACAGGCGGTTACTGCATCGATCGGCCACTAGGTGGGGTGTTTCCCTCCTGCAGCCCGTGCAACAGACGCAGCAGTTGAAGCGCGGGAGATAAATGCGCAAACCAACCCCAACAAATTCTGTGACTTTATGGATTATTGTTTAAAACCAGCTGGGCCTTGCAGAAGCATTACCGGTAATTCACACCCAGCAAACAGCTGCGGTTCACCGGGTGAACTAAGTACTGCGTGTTTGGTCCAGAGCCGTCAGGGCTGATTTAACCACATGGTTATTTGCTTGTTTGGCCGTTTAAAATTTCCGCAAAAGGCCACCAATCATTCGCTGGGCAGGCCCAGAAGCATTTCCAAATCACGACAGGGAGAGAGAAAGAAGGGACGGAACAGAACAGAACGGAAGAAGTGGGACACAGACACAAAAAAAAAAACGATACACGATCCAACACAACACCGGTGCTCCCGAGTCCACAGTGGAGGAAAAGAAATGAGAGATTAAGTATCCACATACAAACAAACATTCAGCCAGACTAGCAGTGCCTCACGGGAGAAAAGAAATAAAACAGGACAGGCAGAAAGACGCACGGGAGGCAAAAAGGACAGAAAGAATGACATGCACAGGCACCAGTGGGTCTGTCCCCGGCTTCCACGCCACAGGATGCATGTGGCTCAGTTAGGACGTTAGAACGAGTAACACGTTAGCTGTTAGTGTGAACAAAAGCCCTCGTGCGAGTGTTGCGTGTGCTTGTGTGCGAGGGACCATGTGTGTGTGTGTGTGTGTGTGTGTGTCACCTCTTGCCGGGCCATGTGTGCGGCACACTGCACACGATGGAGGAGAACATCAGCGCGGTGACGAAGGAGAAGAGGACCAGGTAGATGACACCCTCCACCCCGTCGTAACACAGCCCGGTCAGAGCCTGGACGTAGTCCTACACAGGTGGGGGAGGGGCGGGAGGGGAGGGGAGGGGAGGGGGGGGGGGGTGTCACTGGCAGAGAGACTTTATTTTTCCTCCCCCGAGGCGACGCGCAGAGGGACTCACCATGTGTAGGCTGCGGCAGTCGACCCAGGGCGGTCAGCTGGTGAAGACCCACCTCGGTGGAGTTCAGCACGGACTGGATCTGCTCCAGCATCCCCTGAGCACACGGAGCAAGAGGGTCAAGGAGACAGATCCTCACACAGAGGTCCATGAAGCGCACACGCGCACACACACACACACACACACACCTTGGTGCTGGCGTAATCACGTGTTGCTGATCTGAGCAGCTCTGCCACGTCGTCCTGCATCTCCACCAAGGCCTTGTGACTCCCTGAGAGCCTCTACAAAAACACACAGGGGGACAAGAGACGCAAAAGAAGACGCACAAACACACTTGGGGTGATTGGCTGGCTCTGCAGGTTAAAGGAGGTTTAAAAGTCAACATATCACACAGGATGGAACCCTCGCTATGACCGGTCTGCAGAAAGCTTTTCCTCTGCCTGTGTTTGCTCTTCTTTTTCATCTCAAATCTCGTTTGTTTGTGAGACGGAGGCAAAAGGATCCTTCAGCGGCACGAACTGACCACCAACCCTTCGCTGCTCGTCTCCTCTCTCCTCCTCCCCTTATTTTACTCCCTCTCTCTTCCAGGTTGCTTTGCGTGCGTGTTTACAAGCTACAAACACATGAAATGGAGCAAATGTATGTTATATATATATATATATATATATATATATATATATATATATATACCAGAAGGCAAATATATATATATATATATATATATATATATTATATATTATATTATATATATATATCCCCAAATATAGGGTGAACTTACCTGCTGGAAGGGGTTAATTTGGCCAGGGCTGCACCTCAGGTAATACTGCAGGATATCTGTGAACAAAGCAATACATACATGATATTAGAATAATAATACATGAATAAACAGCTAAATGAACAAAAGAAAAGCATTATTAATGTATGAAGATGATCTAAGGCGCAGTATTAGGGACAAATCAGTGTGTGTGTGTGTGATATCTATCGTGCGTGCTCTACAGAGCAAAAGCAACTGACAGACAACAGATCTCATTAGACGAGTGCAGAGAAGGGAGGAGAGGAAGAAAGGGAGCAACCGAGAGGTGAGGAGGGAAATAAAAGCGCGAAGAGAGAGAACGAATCAGATGAGATCCTGAGTGAAAAAGCCTAAATGTGTTTTTATTCCGTTGGGGAGAAGCAGGGAGGAAGAGCGTGCAGGACTGCTGATGCATTGCAGTCAGCAGAGAGAGAGAGCTCTTAGATACCACAGTGTCAGTCAAACACAATCCCCTCGGATGCACACACAAACGCACAAACACACAAACGCTCTTAAAATAGACGCAAACATGTCAGGGTGAATTCAACCGTCGGAGTGAATACTGAAGTTGTTGATCTGCCTATCGTCAGCGCTTCGACCAATCATCTGTCATGTCCTCGGTCTTCATTATTAGCACGAGTGACCAGCAGTGACGGGGAGGTTGCGAAATGGGAATGTGTTTTTTTTCTTATGTAATACAACATTTGTGTCCGATTATCAAGCCTCTACATACAGCGATACGAAGAGCTCGTGACAAAAGGACACGCTGTGTGTGCAGGTAAACATTTTTTTGTTTTTGCAATTTAGTCCACTGGTTCTGGATACCTTGGTTGATGACATCGTTCTCCTTGGTTACCCTGGTGACGTACGTATCCGGGGAGACGCAGAAGTCGCTGGCTGACTGTAAGAGGGTAGGCACACACATGACACATCCACGCGGAACCCGCACACTCAAAAAGATTACATCACTGCGGAGCCAGAGAGCTCGCCGCTGTTGCCATGGTTACACTTACAGCAGCGGCAGCCAGTTCCAGCCCGAGAGACCCCCAGCTGATTACCAGAGTCAGAACACCGAGCAGGCACACTCTGAAGGACACACAAATACACGTTTTTTAACGTCGAGATTTGGCTCGCCGACGCGGTCGGAGACGAGAGATTGGAGGAGCGACGTCGGGGGGGGCGTGCCGTGTCGTAGCTTACCCAATCAGAATGCCTCTAGAGTTGCGGATCAGGCCGAAGAGCACCAGAAGGCAAATGAGTACGTCAAACAGCAGCAGGCTCAGGTACCCCAGCCACCTGTGAACACACACACACACACTCTGTAGGTGATACAACACAACACACACTGCAAACTGGAACAGACACCGTGTGCACTTTACCATGAACCAGCTAATCTGTGGCTCCTCTCCACACACCTTGTCCAGGTACTCAAATCAATACAGGATCCTTATCGACATTTAACAGAAAGTTAGCGGGTCACTGAACATATATTTATGTATCATCCATGACTGACTTCATGACGTAGTGGGGTGGACAGGTGTCATATTTGCGTGGATTTTTGATTCTCTGTCCCTGTTTGGATTTGTTCACAAACCAGGTTTCAAACTCAGCCGTTGGACTTTGGACTCTCCCGTCTGTTTGTTTGCCCCGTTGGTACCTTGCTAACTCCGGCCGGGCGGCACTGGCTAATTCTTGTTGTGACAGTCAGAATCACAAAGAGGTTCACTCAGCATCAACACCTATGACCAGGCCAGAGAAACCAGGCCGTTTTATACCCCCCCCCCCTCTCAGCCAGTCCCTCTGAGCGGATCTGTTTCCTTCCTGCATCACAGAACACCTCTCGTCTCCTGTGGGCGCTGACCTGTAGAAATCGAAAGCCTCCGTCTTGTGGGCCAAGTCCTCCAGGGAAATGTCCGTGTTGGACCAGAAGGGGACGTCCGCCATCAGCCTCACCAGCTCGTCCAGCTGGCCCTGCAGCTTCTGGACAATGGACACGTAGTCGGTCTGCTCCTGGAAGGCCGTCTCCAGCTGGACCAGGTTCTCCTCCACCGTCTGGTTCAAGGCGAGGGCGCTATCTGACACCTGGGCGTAAAGGGGGGGGATTAACCTCAAGACTGCCACGAATTATTAATATTATTCTTATTCTTTTTTCATTGGCTCACCAGCTTCTCCACCCCGGAGACGGTGCGGTTGGCGTGGCGGAGGGAGTACGCCAGCCGGCCCGCCCCGTCACTCGACTCGCCGTTCCCGTAGAAACCCACAGCGATGCCGGCGCTGTGAAGCAGAGAAAAAAGGAAGTGTTAACGCATTAAATCAAAAAACACACGAGTTCAGGGAACACGGAGGATCGCAGGGAAGACGCAGAGGTCGCTAAGCGCAGTCCCCGTGGTAACCAGCAGCAGGCGACGCTGAGCTCGGTACCCTGCGGCCTCCGGCAGCCGCAGGACTACCAGGAGTTTTTCTTACGCACACACACACACAAAGAGGCTACACAATAATTGGGTCACCAGACCGCACATAATATGATCATAATATGCAACCTTTTCATCCCTGCATGACACTACCGTATCTGAGGTTGCTTTAAAACCCTCCTCCCCTCCACCCGACACCCCCGTCACATCCAAAGAGGCCTCCTTCCCTGTCTCCATCTCCCCTCCGCCCCCTGTGTGTGTACTGTGTGCGTGTGTGTTAGAGTAATGATGGTGTCTCGGCCTGGACGCTAACGACGGGCCCATTTGCAGAAGGGGAATTTATGACCATTGTTAAGGCAATTCCTTCTACCCCATTCGATCCTGAGCAGCCCCTGTGTTACAGACGACACGTGCGTCTGTGTGTCTGTGTGTGTGATTCACGATGGACCAGTGACATAAAACGTCAAATACCGAGGTGAAGCGCGCTTGACACGAGAATGGAAACAAGAGATAATCAAAGGCGAAGAGGCTCGTGAGCGCTTTACGTGTGGGTCTATTCTTATGTGTCCATGTTCTCACCCGTCCCCGCCTCCCACCATCGCACTCCGTCCCCCGCGTCATCGCGCTTTTAAACGGCAAATCGTCTCCCTCCGCTGCCCTTTGCTCATCCTCTCACTTCCTTCCCGCCGACTCCCTTCATCCCTCGTCTCTCCCCTCTGCTCTCCTCGCGTTTAATACCTGCCGCTCCTATGAGGGGATTTCAGGACTGGGGGGTATGAGACATAAAAGAAGGGGGCCGGTGAGGGAGAGTGGGATGATTGACGGCACACGTTGGCTGGCTTAACTAACGTTCCTTTGAGGACGCTGTTCTGATGCTAAGTTTAGTGTCTGCTTCGGTCCAGAGCAACAACCAGAAAACCGAATAACTCTGTGATGGAGTCTGAATCAGTATGGGGAGAGAAAAATGGGATCAATCTTACCCCGTGTATTCTTGATAATACTTAGTATCTTGCTCATTTGATTTCACACACTAGAAAAAAAGAGGAACATAAATTCCCACAGCCCTCGTTCTTAATCGACCAAAAACCAGCAAATGTTTGTGTTTGTGTTCTTAATAACCGACTTAAGGATTAATGTTCTGCTGATCCACTAATCCTCTCACTTTACATACTGTACGTAGCACAACAACAATAAACAATCTAAACACAGCCCACCTGCACACAAACAGAGGAAGTGCCCATGTGTTGTTGTGCCAAAAATAAGCTGTCAAAGAATCGCACGAGTGCTCATGCTTGCATGCAGACACACACACACACACACACACACACAAATGCACATCAAATATTCATTAGGAAGTATTATCGCTAATTCTGAAATATTAAAAGCTGAAAAAATATAACTAGAAATGAAATCACATGAAAACACACACACTCTCACGCAGACAGACAGAGCTCCCTCTGACTGTATAATTTATTTCTCGTCCCTGCATCAAATCTGCTTCTGTCTCCATGGCAACCTTTCTAGGCCAGAAAGGAGGCTGATCAGAGAGAAATAATAAATAACAGAGGAGGAACAGAGGAGCAGTTTATGCTTATGTCTGTGTGTGCGTCCTTGCGGCCCGGCGTCTGTGGTCAAGACACGGTCACGCTTTTACGGACGTGACGTATGTCACTTTCTGCGACCTGCAGTCTGGAATCGGTGACGTAGCTGTTATGTTCCTGGTGGAGTGAAATGAATACTTTGTCTGCAGCAGGAGAAGCAGGCCCCATGACATCACCGATGCTCCTACCGTCTATACAGCTGTGCACAGTGCTGTATTACACAGAACCAGCCAATCGGTGCCCGGCCTGCCCTCCCAATCCCGAGAGATGACTTAGAGACTCTATTTAAGGACATGGTGCAACTCTAATAGGGGATGATGATTAAATATATTGGCCCTTACCCACTCTAGCATTCTCCACGGAACGAATCTAACAGCTGCAGCTGCTGCAGGGGAATAGGGGGTTGAACACGACCTCTCACCTGCAGACCAGCGTGGCGATGATGACGCACCAGGCGGTGCAGCAGCAGTCGGCGCTGGGCTGCTGCGAGTGCGTGTGAGAGTGCGAGGAGTCGTCGCTCTTGCGCCGCCGGCAGCAGAGCCAGAAGGAGTAGAAGAGGAGGAAGAGGAGGTCCAGGCCCAGGCACAGCACCGCCACCGCCCCGAGCAGCAGGATGGACTGGAGATGAGACAGAGGGGGGGGGGGGGGGGGTCAGCTAGTGGCAACGACGAAATGAATGCATGACTTTGGCGTGCAGTTTATCTCCTAAGTTCTCCTTCTGTCCAACTCTGAGCTCCACTCGCTCGGCCCTCGTCCCAAGGGGGGGGGGGCAGGAAGTGGGTTAAACACACAGGAAGCCGACCGGCTGATACAAGCAGACACAAAGAACACCGGCGGATTCAGTTCCTCCTGGCGCGGCCAGACGGACACGTGGCGCTCGGCTCTGCGGCTATCTGCAGCGTTTTGATGGGAGGCCACGAGAGACAAACAAAGGGAGAAAAAGAGACATTTGCACGGCATCCTACGCGCGTGCCTCTGCAGAGCTTTGAAGTGTAAGAGAAGGAAGGGGGTGGAGGGGGTGGACAGAGGGAGCAGTGAGACGGGGGATGGGGGGGGGGGGGGAAGTGGAACAAAAAAAAAGAGGCTGAAGTGACGGGAAAAGAAGAAGACGACTGAGTAGAACACTAAAAAGGGAGGAAGGGTAAAAGCAGGGACGACGGCTGTTACAACAATTAGCTTGTGACTGACAATCTTACATCCTACAGACACACACAAACACCCCCCCCCTCCCCTCCCCCCACTCCCCCTTGGGATATCTGGAAAAGTCATTGCACTGCAAGAACCGTGGAGAGACAAAGGCACGTTTCTGGAAAACCAAAATGTCCCCTTGCTCGACTACTTTCCAGCAGACAAAGGAATCGTGCGCCAGTTCTGCAAGAAACACCAACGGGGAGTCAGGGGACTCCGAGGAGGAGGAGGAGGAGGAGGAGGATAACAAGTCCACCCCCCCTCCGAGATCCGCACAGACTTCCTAGATTCACGGGCGTCTCTACCGCTCGTTCTTTGTGCTGACCTCAATTTTTTTTTCCCTCCTCGCTACCAGGCAGCAGTTTGCTCGCCCTGCGGCAAATGTACAGTACGCAGCGCTGCTGTAAATGTGTGAGTGCACACGGGCCGAAGAAAAGTGATCTCAGATCACAAAATGCATCAAATGAAATGTTTCGGTTCTTAGAAACGTATCAGGGAGGCTTTCCTGCCAATCGGGCGCATTATATCCTGGATGAGTGGTTCCCAAACTGGAGGTCGGCACCCCAGAAAAGGGGTTTACCTGGTGAAAAAGAATCAAACTAAAGCCGTAACCTGGACGCAAGCAGGGGACATTTACAAGCCAAAAGAGAAAGCAAGCTTACTCAGAACCAGACATGAGCCGACGTGCTGAGCGCCTTCATAGTGGTGTGAGATTGCTAACTTTCATCACTCGTACCAAACAATGAGCCCGAGGCTGACAGGAAACGTCCTTCGCCCTGCGGGAATTTGGCAGAGCTCGATGGTGACGGCTGCCAGGTGGGAAACCAGCTCCGGCCTTTTCGTTTTAATACTTTTTATCAAGTGAGGAAAAGGGGGGCAGCGAGCAGCCGAAAGGGCAAAATGAAAGACATCATATTTGCATCAATGACGTTTAAAGTCGGGTGGAAGCCGGAGTGGTTGCAGGTCGCAGAGTCCAGACTAACGCTCACCATCAAAGGCCCAAAGCCCTGCTCGCATTGAGTAACGCCGTGGCCTGATAAGGGCAACATTTCCAAATAAACGGTGGCAGATGTGTAAGCGGACCAGCGGAGGGGCTGCAGCCGATCCGCCGGGCCAGTGGGTCACTGGAGCGCTACAGTAGAAAAAAACAAATTATAATTCCAACCCCCCCTCCCTTGTTGATCTTCTGGGGGGGGGGGGAGGGGTCTCTCTGTGGGCCACTATCCGCTGAGCGTGCCAGAGGAAATAAATGTCTTTAAATGAAAATGATTTTTTCCAAACCGTCAAGTGAGGCCCTTTGAAAAACTTTTGGAAATAATTCGGGGAGAAATCCCGGTCCTTTGCGTTAACCCCTTTGGGAAAAAAATGGCCTTGGGGGGAGTGGGAACCATTAGGGGCTTTTCTTTACCCAGTTGAAAAAAGCTTTGTGGAGGGGGGGGGGGGGGGGGGGGTTTAAACCCCTTAAAGTCCCTTTTTTTCCCTGGGGTTTTTTTCGGGGGTTTATTTCCCGGGCCCCCCGCCCCCGGGGGGGGCCCCCCCCCCCCCCCCCCCCCCCCCCCACACCCCCGCCCCTGCCCCACAAAATGCATTGTTTGAGCTGTCGGGTCTTTAACGTCAACGTTAGGGCTTAAAAACGAAAAGCATTAAGCTTTGAAGAATGAGGCCTCGCGCCGCAGAACCAGAGGTTGTCATGGCACCCGTCCGTCAGGGACCTGCTACCGGGACGACACAGATGCAGTGATAGTGACATGATGGAGAAAGTGTTTCCCTATGAGGTGAACTGGAGAGCTTAAACAACATTATTTTGATAATTAATTGGTTATTTCAGACATTTTGTTGCACTCTTTGTCTGATCAACCAAATCTTTTATAAAGAAAAACAAGTTTGAATCCATCGTTTTGCTTCAAAACCGCCCGACGATTTGAGGAGCTGCGAACAACTATAGTTGGTACATCTACTTTGTAAACATTGCAATAAGAGCTGATGAAGTCAGCTATAAGGGCTTAAAGTCCGGTATAATCTGACTCCAGATTAACTGTCAGGCTGACAAACCGTCACAGCAGATTACGCGTGGATCAATTAGCTACTAATAAGCGTGGTGATCTCGGACGCTGCTAGAGATCAGCTTGCGCGCTGGAGGAGGAAGGGCTACACGTTAAAGGTCCAGGCACAGCGATCTACTTCCAGTCTGTCCATTTAAATGTGGGTGTGTGTGTGTGTGTGTGTGTGTGTGTGTGTGTGTGTGCGTTTGAGCTGACAGGACCAATCACTTCCCCCTCAGCGACCTGTCCTTGCACCCGGGGACTTCAGGCACCACTGACCTCTGCTACCATCCACCTGTACCGCGGGGTCAAAGGGCAACCGGCACGCTTACGGACACAGTTCATACCCGCATGGCGCCTTTCTAACTAAACCTCCTGATCCTCTTACTCGTTCCACTGTGAAAACTGTAACTCACAACTCAAAAAGCACCAATTACAGACCTGCTTTCCACATACGTGTTATTACAGGTCACATGACTCCTCTGTAATGTTCTGCAGCTGTTTCACTGTGGCCGGCAGCTGACTCTGCGATTCTACCATAATGCAGGCAGAGGGACGCACGCACACACACACACACACACACACAGACACACATGCTATAATGGCTCGCAGAAGCTCCGATTTCAGCTGCCAAGAAAACCAAATCAAAAACAACAAAAAAAAAGGCCAGTCAGCATCCCAAATAAAGTCAAAGTCACTACCTGCTCTTGTCTCTCCCTCTTTTTGAGATCAGTTAAAGAGAAGGAAGAGTGACACTGTGTGAGAAGAAGCTTCAGCGCTGAATGCAAATGAACCTGCGCCAAAATCAGAGAGAAAAACAACTACACAGAAGAATCCCTCTCCATTGTGCGGCAGGGAGTGTGCGTGTCGTGGTGACGAACTCTTTGCACTGAAGGACACTCTGTAGGACCCTGTGTATGTGTGTGTGTGTGTGTGTGTGTGTGTGTGTGTGTGTGTGTGTGTGTGTGTGTGTGTGTGTGTGTGTGTTCCCAGCTGGATGAGTGGATGCATGAAAGCCTTGAGACAGATATACTGAGCCAATCTAAAGACGAGCCTCAGTCAAAGAGGGGAAGAAAGAAAGAGAGCATTCTCTCACAACACACTACAGCCACCCCCCCCCCCCTCCCTCCTCACCCCCCTCCCCCCTCACCTCCCCATTGCCCATCCAATTCAACCTCCCTTTTCTTGTTTTTCTCACCCTCTATCCCTCCCTCTCCCTAACCCCCGTCTAGCCAGAATTAATGATTTCACCCTGAATAGAACCCCTATATTCACACTCACACCACAACACACACACACAACACACGACCCCTGAGGGAGATCCCCGACCTCACCTCGACAAACAACACCAAGTGCTAAATACGCACTGACGCAGAACGTGAACACACTGTAACGCATGTGCAGCACAGATAACGTGCACACACAAACAAACACGTGGTCGTGCTGCAGGATGCTCGGTCGGCATAGAAACAGCCCCGTCTGCTAAAATATGTCAAGATGTAATTAGTCTAAAAAAGGGGGTGCTTCAAATTCTAGTGGTGACACACATTGGCACACAAACACACACACACACACACTCACAAAGGCCCTTAGTGAAACACTGAATAGCTCGCAGGAAGTGGCCATTTGGCAATTTGGAAGCACCTCCCATGGCTCACGGAGCCTTCTCCCTCTCTCCCCTCTCTCTCCCCTCTCTCTCCCCTCTCTCCCCTCGCCTCCAATCAGTGTCTTTTCATCTCCCCGCTCCTCGCTTCCCTCTCCGGTTCCCATCTCCCTCCCTCCCTCGTTTGGGGCCTTCCCACGCTCGCCTCTTGAACTTGCACACCCGTTCCTCCTCGCCCCCCAAAACGTACATGTCGGCAAACTGCGTGGAGGGGCGACTTGGGCCTGTGAAATGTGGGAGTCCTTTTTTGTTTATGTGGGAGAGGGGGGGTTGCCTCTGTTTCCTGATGCAGAGACCTGGAAGTCACCTTGAGATGAAATGCAGCAATCGCACACTTTTTTCAATGAATTGATTAGTGTTTCCCCTACCGTTATATCAGGGGGGGGGGCGCATGAGGAATTAGCTCAAGAAGATGTCCTTGACTTAAAAAAACGGTCCCAACCCAACGCTGCTCAAAATCCTCATGTTTAACAAGTTGGAGCTTTGCGATTGGTCATCGACACTTTAACGTGCTTCCTCCTTGTCAATTGTGTGTGACAGCAGAAAAATGCCCAAAAGCTTTAGTGTGCTGTGGCGCACACGAAGACAAACGTGAGGCATCAGCAGGAGGAGTGGAAAGACTGTGGGACCCCCAGTAAATCTGACGTTCCAAGCACAACAGGCTTTGTGTGCAATTCAAGTCCGTTTTTTGGATAACTCCATTTCCGGGAGCCACTTTGCCACCATGCAACTTGTGTTACAGCGGTTACCGTGTTACGGGGTGCCTTAGCGTGCTGCAGTAACCTGCTAACAGCTAACTTCATCATGCTTAAATAATCCTTTGATTATTGATTGAATCCGATGTTTGTCAAAGCCATAAAAAAAAAGGGAAAGCTGTATTTTTCTTTGCTCTCGTAATTAATCTCCCCTTTCCTCCGATTTATAGTGCAACCACTCGGGGTTTCACCCTCCAACCTTTGGATTAACCAGCTAATAAATTCTGCTCAACCTGTATTGATAAAAATTATGAAGCGGGTCGGGGATCAGTGTCCCGATCGAAGGACTCGCAGGATTTCTCCCTCTCTCTCTCACACACACACACACACACACAGCATTGATCGATGCAGGGAGGGAACCCACAACCTCCCTGTGGTAGCAGGACAGCCGGGGCCACCGCTCTGCTGTGAAATTACGGCGTGCGCGAGGCGGGATGATAAGGTGATGCGCCCCCCGTGCTCGTGCTCGGCTCACCTTCTGGTACTCGGAGTCCTCCGGTCTGAAGTCACCGCTGACGAGCTGGAATTCCATGTTGAAATGAGGCATCCGGTGGAGCAGGTTCACCCACCAAGGCGGAGAGTAGTTCACCACGGCCGCCATCCCGATTGAAGCTGCCTCGCCGGGCCGTCACTTGGCTCTCGGGCGCTGATTCCTCGCGCGGGACGCTGTGGAGAGATCGGCCGTAGCGGTGGGTTAAAAGAAACGGGGCAGAGGAACGAACCTCGCCACCCGCAGGGGGCAGGCGGAGGCAGGAAACTGGCCGGGGTCGAAGGTGAAGGTTCATAAGCTGTTCACCATCAAAACCCGCGTCCTGTATCTGGAGTAATCGCCAATGACTGGCAATCAGTGTAAAGACAATGTGACGAGTCAGTGACGGCGGCGGGACAAACGGGCAGATCCACATCTACGCGCAAACATCCAAGTCCCGTAAATGATTTATTATATGAATATTTGAAACGTGAAGCACGTCCCACACTTCAGTTTAAAATGGCTACAATTATATTATATTATTATATTTCTGATTATTTGAAGGAGGAACCCTTTCATAATGGCTTAAAACAATCGGATTACTTTGCCATTTGAGGGGCTGTTTTCCTTCACAGATGCGGGTGTGTTGAGGGGAACAGATTGTCATGTAATAAGCCCTCATCAGGAATAATAATAACAATAATAATAGTAATAAGCCCTCATCATAACATCAGTGAGCAATAACAATGTGTTTGTTTTTTTAAAAGCTCCTCTGTTCTCCCTGATCTAACCACAAAATGACAAATGAAATGTTATGCGTCGATGACATTTTAGATGTGAGCAAAATCAAATGAAATCAATGAGGTCATTCTGCGCTTCTGCGCGTATCAGCCACAATAACATGGCTGACAGGCACCGTTACCTCTCTGCTGACGGACCAACGACGGATGACTCTCCAGCCTCTCCGTCACCGGGTCACTTACCCTCCGTCCGTTAGCGGAGGAGACCCGGATGAGCTAACGGCTAAACTTGTATTCATTATTTAAAGCAGTCGAGGCGAGAAGTAAACACGCTATTTTGAAGGCCGTTAAATCTCGTTAATTACGTCGTCATTTTGATCGATAGTTCGATTGGAACGTTCGCTTAAAAAAAGAAGAAAAAAAAGAGGGTCCCGCTTTGTCCGTTAAAACCACCGCAGTCTCTCGCGGAGTCGTCAAGGCAACGACGGGGGACGGAGGAAGGTGGGGGAGAGGGGGGGGGGGTCACGGTGAGAATTATCCTTAACCTTACCTAGTGAAGGCAGCGGGCTCTCAGGGTCGAGGTTTTTCTTTTCGGTGGGGGGGTGGTGGAAGGGGGGAGGGGGGGGTCCAGTTCACCTTTTGTCTTCCCGGATCCGGTGGTGGATTTAGCCGCGCGCTGCTGCATCAACGCGGCCGCACCGAGCTAGCTGCGGTCCCGACCGCATCGAGAACCAACGGAACGACGGTCACCGACCCGGTCTCCTCCGGCCATTTAACAAAAGAGAGAGAGAGAGAGAACCAGACGCGCCTCTCTCCGTTGCTCCGCGGCTTTCTTTCCCCTCCTGCACCGGGGGGGCGGGTGGTGCTCGTCGGCGTTGTTTCCCACGGTGACCCGTCGGTTCGCGGCTCTGCTATTGGATGACGCTGTTGGAGCGTGAAGCAAACGCGGTGTTTAAAAAAATAAAAAAGGCCCCGGGAGGACGGGGCTCTGCGGCAGTGTGTGTGCGTGTGTGTGTGTGTGTGTGTGTGTGTGTGTGTGTGTGCGTGTGCGTGTGTGTGAGAGAGAGAGAGAGAGAGAGAGAGAGGGGGAGAGAATGCGCGGGGAGGCCGCCCCCTGGCGGTAAAACGACGGCAGTGCACGTGAGTCAGGAGCTCATTGCCGAGGCAGTTTTATCACTGGCGCATTCTCATTGTGCGCTACTTTATCACTACATGCTTTTTACTCCACGTAATGTGTTAGTTGTTTAAAAGGAAGTATCTAATAAAGTTTCTTCACAGATTAAGGAAAACTGGCAGTATACAAAGTAGCAACGATTACCAGCTGCAACGTGATGATACACATATTTATTATTAGGAAATTAGTCATTCAGCATGAGGGCTTTTAGTAATTACCTTTATTTGTAAGAGTATTTTACATATTAAGACCCCGGGATTTTATTTACTACTGTGTAACGTGGACATCCTCCCGCATTGTAAATCGCTCTAGTAAAATTAATTAACGATTCACAGTAAAATGCAAGTATCTAATGGGATATTCTTGTTTTGCAGAAAACTGTGCTAATTTACAAGCACAATATAGAGGCACTTACATTATATTTGAGTAACACCCATTTACTGCTACTTTATCCTTTTACCCAATTTATGAGGGAAATATTCTCCTTTTAGTTACTATTTTTATATAAAATGTAACAAAGACAGATGTGATGGACTGCAAATGTGAAGCACTGTTTACACAAAAGTGTGTTGAACATCAATGTGTGTGTCAACCATAAAAAAATACTACTTTCACTACTTATGAATTAGTAATATTATTACTGTAATACGATTTCCATACTCAGAGAGGAGACTCTTTTTACATTTAAATACATAGTTTGGTGTTGGTATTTGCAGCTTTGTCCACACTGAAGAATTAAAACAAATGAAGAGGTTTTATTATAAAAAAAGCATTTTTATTGAAAGTCTCAGAAGTTTAAGTTACACACATCCTGCGGAAGAAACTGCACTCATCCGCATTGATCCTTTTTTTATTTTATAGAGCACACACATTATCGAATCCATACAAACTCCATGTGTATCCCCCACTGTCCTGCCCGTGTGTTTAGTATTGCTGCAGACGGATCTATAATTTATTCACAGTTAGACTCAATAGTGCATCAGTTCAGAGAATTATCCCTCGATCAAACCTCACAATCAGCCGTCCTAGTACTAAGCGCACGTGGTAGATTAGCGTGGTGCCGTTTGCGTGTTACAAGCCTGCGACCTGAAAGCGGTTTGTCGGGTCCGGCTAAGAGAAACAAATGCATTTATTACCATAAGTTTTATTATATTAACCATGCAGCAGGCACTTTGGCACAAATAAGAAAGCACAAGAGGTGAAGATCAAAAGGGATTTCCATTTTATGTTTAATCAAGTTCTTTCTCCAACAATGGGATCCATATGGACAGTGTCCTAAGACCCTGATCATCAGGTGTTTATGTGCCGCGGTGAACCTGCAACTTCCCCGAATGTTCTGGTTATTACTATAGAAAGAGCATGTTGTGCGTGTGAAATGTTATCCTGACTAGTATCGGAATATCTCAGATATTGTTTGCAGGTTCAGTATCCGACACATTGAGCAGGAACATGAAGGTCTTCCTGCAGACTTTCTCTCTCTCTCACACACACACACACTCATAAAGAAACACAACCCAGAGGTTCTACAAGATGAAGACTTCTCTGCTTCTCAGAGGACGCGACGGCGATACGATGATGTCATCGGAGTCGTCGGAATCAGCGTCGGCGGCTCCGATGCGCTCAGCTGTGCAGCGAAGCTCCGTTTGGTCTGCAGGAGAACGACAGGCGGGAACGTGCTTCATCAACCGGGAGTAATTCATCGCTTTCGACTCAATCGGCTTTACAAAGTGGGAGGGTTAATGAACACACAACCTAAAGGGAAATCAATACCGGTTGGTGCCGTCGTCCAGGTGGAGTGAGTGCTAGAAAGGAGCCAGGGGTCTTCTTCCTCCGCCTGCTTTCCCCCATCTTTAACAAAACAACAGACACAAAGCAATTTCGGACATTTTTGTTTCAGATACTCTTGTCTGCGACCCCTCGTCTGCTCTGGCCTGGAGCGGTGCGATGTGGTGCGTACGCTAAATCTGTCAGTAAACACCACGCGCACAGGCGGACTCGTGAAGGAGGAAGAGGAGGCGGAAAGTGCCGACGTAGCTGCTCTGCTCTATGCGCCCGTCTGATGTCGACCTGCGAGACAGCCGGGGGAAGTCGGCGGAGTCTAACAAGGTTGTTTAGGTTGGGAAAGAATCAATTGTCATCGCGTCTTTGACCCGTGTTGTGCACTCGCCGAATATTTTACACAATAATATTTGAGAGATCTACAACAGGGTCGAATACGCCAATATCCAAAATCAAAGAAGCCACCTAACAAGGTATCGAGCCCGTCGCAGGGTCTCTAACATGGGACTGGTCCACAGGCTGCAGAGTGTGGGAGGCGGTGTGTGTGTGTGTGTGTGTGTGTGTGTGTGTGTGTGTGTGTGTGTGTGTGGGGGGGGGGGTTCCATGTGCTGCATAGCTAACAAACATCGGGGCTGAACCTCCAGCATAAAGAAGAGCAAACAGACAAGTGACAGTTGGGATCAAGACTGCGAGGGGAAACTCTCACACGTACAAAAAGGGACGGACGCATGTTACACCTCATTTAAGCAAAGAAGATGTATCCCATTCACACAGCTGTGATAATGTTACACTGTATCAGTAAGGCAAATAAAAAGAAGTGTCTTCAATCCTCCAGAGTTTTCTTCAAAGCATCTTTTAAACAAAAATATGTAGATTTCCTTTTCAAAATATTGTTCAACCTATATTTGGATTTTTTTTTTTTACATTCTTCAACCTAACATATTTGAACTTAAAAAAAACAACTCAATATATTTTTTCCATGATACTCTCCGAGCTCACATAATTTGACTATTTTTTTCCAAAATATTTTCAACCTAATAACCCAAATTTTTTTTGAGACAACATATTTGGACATTTCTTTCAAAACATTCTTTGACCTTACATATATTTAATTCTTTTCATGCTTTTTTGACAGAATGTGTTTGGACTTCTGTTCAAAACATTTTTGGACCTTTTCTTTTGTCCATGACATTTTGGAACATAACAGTTTTAGACTTTTCTTTCTTTCATTATTAACTATAGAAGGTAAGATTAACACAGCAGGGTTTTGTTTACCTGTATCAACAACAATGCCTTTCTTTGTGGCTTTTTTTACCACATGGTTCTCTGAATCAGCTACGGTTTGTTTTGTCCGTAAATATGCAATAAAGAATCCATCTCATAAAGTGTGTGAGCCTCACCTGTTGTGTCGTGTGGGTGTTTTGAGCGCGCTCCTCCTTTTGCCAGCGTCGGCGCGTCGTTTCCCATCGGAGAAGGCACAGAGAACCCAGAGCTGAACACACACACACACACACAGCATTTAAAAAAATAACTTCACGGTTAGCATGAGCTTTACTTTCCAATTTATCTTCTCGTAAAACGCGAATCACCTCTCGGTTGCGCGGCTGCAGCGAGCCAGGTGTCCCCTGAATGAGGACTGTATCATCGTCAAGGCAACCGCGTCAAACCCTCCCTCCGCGGAGGATGCAGCCTCACTTGTTGCCTCCACGGCCTGAAAACAGGAGTTGGGGAAACAACATGGAGGTGGTGAGTCGGCGTGTTCAGGAATTGATATGACTTAATTCACACTTAAAACCACTTCACAGAAAGCAAAGGGATAGGAGGGGTTGTGAGGACTATAGTGCAAACTGTAGTGCAATATTGTGAAAGTAAAAGTTTTAAAGTGCTTCTGATGAGTGAGAGAGATGCAATGCTTTGTGACGGGACTCTTGCAGTGTGCAGCGTGGGTGAAACCTTTTTGTGCGTTTCTTTTAGCAGGTCCTTCAGCCGGGAGTCTCTGAGGAGATGAGCTCTCATCGCCGACTGCAGCATCACGATGTCCTGAAGACAGAAGGCCGACAGATGAGATAAAGAGAGACAGACCTGGGACGAAGTGTCAGGACGTTTGTTTCATAGAAGCACCATCAGCATCAGTTACATAATCCAATGTGACACTCACCCTGTTGCTGTGCGCCCTCCAGTTTCTCTGGATAACCAACGCTGACTTCTCTCTTTCTTTCTCCTCTGTTCCCAACTCTTCCTCCTCCTCCTCCTCCTCTTTCTCCTTTGAACCTCCACCGTCCCTCTTGCCTCCTTCCTCCGGACGGACTCCAGCATCAGTGTCCCTGCGGTCGTCGGGCGACGCGGCAGAAGGGAGCTCCGCTTGTGCCGCTTTACTTTTCTCTTCCAGAGTTTGGATCCTCATCAGCAGCTGTTCCAGCTCCAGTCTAAAAAACAGACAGACACACGTCTGTGAAATGTGAATCCCAACATGCATGCCAGGAATATGAACATGTTTGAGGAGGACTTGATTTTGCCTTAGCAGAGAGATGGAGAGTGAAAGGAGGCGTCGTTTAATCACATTAATGTCGCGGCGCTCTCTAACGTACGTGTGCTGCTGCCTCTCTCGCTCCCGTTCATTTGTCTGCTCAGCTTTCCACCGTTCGGTCTCAATCTCCGACGCTTCTCTTTCTGCCCTCGACTGTCTCAGTTCATCACTGAAACACACAACACACACTCAAGGACTAATCTCGTATCTCTACTCATCGGCTCTGCTGCACATGATGGTTTGAGAGGATTAATATTATTATCACGGCTGCGTAAGTAAATACACATGAAAACAGTCTCCGGTTGATGCTCACTCACTCTTTGCCTGACAGCCTCTGTTGAAGCTCCGCCCTCTCCTTCTCCAATTGGCCGAGGCGTTCTCTCAGAGCGGGAACCTCCCCCCCCTCCTCCGTGACGGTTCCCACGGAGACCGTTGCCTCTGTTGCCACGGTGAACCCGGGAGCCTCCGTGTGGGTGGCCTGGACCCCCCGGTCCAATCGGCCGCTGCGCTGCGCCGCGTGGGCGGGTCCTCTGCCGTCCTCCAGCCTCTGATAGGACGAGAGAGCAAGTCGGTCTGTGGTGAAGCGGCGGCGCGTCACAGGTGACTCCCCAGCTGGTCAGAGGTTTCTCTCACCTTCTCCACCTCCAGCAGCCTTCTCAACAGTCTCTGCTTGCTCCACTCTCTGTAACCTAGGACACACACACTTAACATCGGCCGGACAGATCAAAATAACAATACATCACAATATTGTGCGCTCCATGCTTTGAAGGAAATGTGTTGGTACGAGTCTATCAAAAATGATTCTTAACTGATTTCCAAGGAAAAATATTGAACATGATGAATACTAATACTGTGATATTAAATAGCACATAACGTAATACAAGTTGGTAGACATATTTTACACCGCTATGCAGCATTTTATTATTTGAGGAGCTAAATTTCTGACTCCCTCTGAATATATTCATGTTGTTAGCTTTTCTGATGAGTCGGCAGTTTGTTTTTCTGAGATGAAAAGCGGATTCCTGACTCACAGGATCAACGTGTGAAATACTTTCAAGCATATTTCTCTGAGTGGAAAGAAACGCGTAACATTTTGCATTCGCTCGTCTCATTTCTCATCCCGAGTTCACGCTGCAGGCGGTTCGGTCACAACGCGCCAGGTTTCGAGGAGGGGCCCACGCTGCGACCCGACGAGCGGAGGACGGGGAAGTGAATGTCTTTTGATGGGTTTGTGTAGCAGCCGGTGTGGTTTCCGCGTGTGAGCAAAGACCTTTGGTTCCTCCCGCGGGGCCGTCGGTGTCGAGCTCCTCTCGCAGCGCCGCGTTCTCCTGCTGGAGCTGCTTCAGGCTGCCGGAGAGACGATGAACCGTGGAGCTCAAAGCTTTCTGCTGCCTCTGGGAGCATTTGCTCTCCGCTCGACTGCTGCAGACCGGAAAGGGAGACGCAGGGCTTCTCATCATTTAATGTGGGGATGGCAGGTGTTATACAGATATAGATGTATATTACTGGACCCGCCCACATCCTAAACGAGTCCTAAACGGAAATGAGTTTGCAGTTTTTCTCCTGCGGTTTCTTTCCCTCCGAGTTTTAAAGTTTCTTAAAAAGGTTTTTGGTTAGATGTCTGTCATAAGGCCCGCCTTTAACACAAGTTTAAGAGATTTTATCATTTACAGACTGTCCATAAAACGCCCTGGAGTGGAATGCGGTAGAATATTATTTATTTGATATATACTAATTGTGGCTTCAAAAATAAAACTAAGTATCATAATCATATGCATTTGAAACTGATTTATTGCAACAATCCAATAGAAAAACCCTGTGAGATCACCAGAGGGATCCTCCCGGGGATCTGCATCCCAAAATCAATCATCCCTGCAGGACTCTACTCCGGGCGACATGGACACGCGTTTCCACAGAGGCGGAAGTGGGTGAAACTGAATGATGTTACAGCTCCAGGACACGATTCGGTCCTCAAATAAACAAAGGGGGGGGGGGCATGAAATTGATCGGATATAAATTGCCAACCTTTTCTCCGCAGCTTCGAGAAGCATCCTCAGCCTCTGGATCTGAAAGAAGAAACCCCGCAAACATGCACACCACAAGTTGGGTGGAGGTTTCCATTTAAACGTGATGATGACAAACCATTTAAAGTGCTAGAGCTTCTCTCATTCCTTCGCCGATTGTTTCCGGTGCTCAAATAATAAGTTTAACATTTGGGTTTAAAAGTCACAGTCACAGGCAGACGTGTCACCTCGTCAAAGTAGGTTTCCACTGTGATCTTCAGCTCCTCCAGGTTAGTGGTCCTCAGCTCGCTTTGTAGCTTACTGGAGAGACAAAAAATAATAATCTGAATATTCTGCAGCTCCACGGATGAACCAACTGGACTTGAGCCCAGGCGGGAGAGCGTTTCACCTCAGGGCTTTTTCTTTCTCTCTACACTGCTGCTCCAGCTTCAGGATTCTCTGCTTCAGCCCGTTCAGAACCTTGATGGAGAGAAATCAAGTTTACAAAATCCGTGTGGAATAAATCAGAAGAGCGGTCTCTGGCACCGGCTGGACATACTCACCACACTGCCCTCTCTTTTCTTATCCACCAAACTACGAGTATATTCAGATCCCTACGAAGGAATGTTTGAACCCTTTAGGGACAGATCTATTGTTTAAAGTACAAACAAATACGAATGTGGGGATCGTACTTTAGTGGGATCCAACAGCTCCTCTATCTGTTTCTCTCTCTTAGCGTTATCCTCCTCCAGGCGGCGGAGTTTGGCTTTCATCTGCTTTTTGTCGGACTTCTGTTCCTGGAGACTCTGCAGAAGAGAAAGCACCAGCGAGTCACCACACAACAACAAAGTCACGAGAGGAACGTGCATGTGGAAACTCCAGAGGGGGTCCAATCTAGACGGACTTTTAATCAGCGTGGGGGAAACAACAGTCTTCTGCGGAGGAATAAAAGTTAGAGAACAGCTCGGGGACATCTCGGCAGACGTCGCGTGGGTTTCAAAAACTCTTTACCTTCTTGAGTCGAATGATCTCGTCGTACATGCTCTCCTTCTCTCTGTAGTCCACCGTGCCGCCGGTGACGCCTGCAACGCAGAGAGATGCTGGAATAAAAAAACGCCCACGCTGGTCTGTCCTCCGCTTTCTTGCACCGATGCACAGTCTCACCGTTGGATCCAGAGTGGAGATGCTTGTGCTGCCTCGTGCTCAAGGTCTGTTTGAGAAGCTCTGAGGTGACATCAAACTCCGACCTTAACGTCTGGGACGCATCTGAAGAAGAGGCGCACGCGTCTCACGTCAGTGCATTGAGCAACAGCGGAGAGAACTTTGTGGTCTGAGCTCTGAAACTGCAGCAATCCATTTATTCTACACAACAAGGGATCAGACGACAACGTGGTGATTCATCATGGAGGTGTTTCTATTATTGTGTCCCTATTGTTGTGTCAGTGAGTGTAGGTTAAATAACATTAACATTACTCTGTGTAACGCAAGTGGAGCAGCACCGTTAACTGCATCCTCAACACGATAATGAGTTAAATCCTTCAATCAATAAATCAATACCTCCCGAAACGATTGTCAAACAAAAAACAATTATAACCGTCGTGATTTCTTTAATCAGTTTTAGCTGGTTGCTCTTGGTGGTATTTTCTATATATCAGTTCACTGAAAAAAAGGTTTGGATTTTTTTTATGTTATTGTTATTCTGCCCTCAAGTGGCCAAATAAAAATAATTTATGTAGGTTTAAATATATAGAATATATAATATATATATAATAATAATAATATATAATAGATCGTCCTATTAAAAATGCCCTTCTTCCCACTTCACTGCAAGGAATAAACAGCCTGGTACAAAAAAAAATGTTTTGGATCTCTACAGCTAACTTCCGTGTTGAAGCAGCCACTCGTCCCGCCATCCCTCCTGAGGAGACCGTGTGCACTCTTTACGTGCGTGTGTGTGTGTGTGTGTTGGGTTTGTTTGTGCGATAATTACCATGGCCGTTGCTGAGGGACGTGATGCGAGCTGGGCCGCTCCCCCCAAGAGGGTCACCTCTGGTGTCCCCGAGGGAGGCCCTCGGCAGTCTCCAGGCCGCCACCGCTGCCCTCCTGGGGTTCATATTCATGCTGGAGAGGTATGGAGACCCTGTGCACACACATAAGCGATCATTGGTTCGTTAGGGCGTCAGGCTGTCAGCGCAGGGCAGCTGAGCGGGTCTTACGTGGAGACGGAGGAGGCTTGCAGGAGGATCTCTTGGTTCTTTTTATCTGATGGCGAACGAAATCAAAGTGTTAAAGCAGATGAGACGTGTGTCGATAAAACTGATTTAATTCATGCACTTGTTTACCTTCTCCAAAACATCAGCAGAGAAAGAGAAGCAATCCTCGCCCTACGTTAGACACACGGGTGAGCCATTTGGAAAGAGATGACAATTAAAACAATGCAAATTTACAGTTATCATTTTTTAGGAGAGTTGGGGGGGAGGTGGGGGGTGGATTATACAAAACACTTCCACCTTTACAGACCTGTAAAAGTTCTCTAAATCAGATAATCAACAAACAAACAAAGCTCCTATTCGAGCCCAAAGTGTTGGTGTCAACTGCAGTAGACTGATGGGTTTAAGGGTCGGGCACAAGTGTCGTAAATGGCACAACTCCAGATTTTAAATGGGTAACTTAACGTTAACGGGTCGGTAAAACAACTTGACAGACTCGGGGACACTCGTATCGTGCACTCACCAGCTCCTCGCAGTCTTCATCCGTCAGAACGTCGCTGGTCTCCAGAGACATCTTAGCATCGGTCCTCAGCATAGCGGGGGAAAGCGCAACGTTACGTCGAGTCGGGACAACTTGACTTTCTCCGTGTGTACGTGAATCCTCTCATTTTTTTCCCCTAAGTAAAAAATTAATAAAACAAATAAATCCCGACTTCAGGACTAATCGGTGGCTCAACAAAAGAGACGTTAGCTGGACTAAAACACGGGTGTTCGTCGCCGTTAATTCCGCGGGTTGTGCGCCTCACGACCCGTTGGTGGACACCGTTGACCGTATCGTCCTGAAACCCGTTAAAATGTTGTTTTCCTCCGTTGCAGCGGTCACCGTGTTCACGTCGGTGTTGCGGATCGAGTCGTCTAGCAACCGGGCGGCTGGTTACGAGCCGCATCAAACTAGCTAGAAGAAGTCAGAGGCATACCGGAAGCGACGAGGGCGTGCCTTCACAATAAAGCTAGTAAATAATAATACATTAATTACATTAAGTTTATTACAATATATTTATAATAATATATATAGTTTCGATCCCGCTCATGTGTGTGCAAGGCACATGGTTGTAAAACTGTTTCAGAAAACGGGAACACGTTTTTCCAATAAGACGCTTATTTTGAAATTTGAAACCAGTTTCAAGCATTGTTTAGCTTGATGGAGCTAATAAGTGAAACCAAGGCCAACGGTCAATAGTGATCGTTGCTTCTGACTCCTTCCCTCACGTTGCCCATTGGTTGGTAAAGGTGGGATGTCCTCCAGCAGCAGGAGAGCTGGGAAGGGCGAAGTACGGGGGGGGGTAAAGGAGACTTTTGAGACTGATGTTCCTTTCACAGCTTGATAGACGATCCTGACAACAACAAGCAAACATTGGACCCCGTGATGACCAGTACATAACATTTGACAAATGCACAAAATTATTGCATATTAAAAACATTTATAAAAAAGTGGTCGTTTTTATGTACTGTCGAATACATTACCAAATCAAAGAAATCATTATTGTCACAGTAGCTTTAGGAAATGTAATCTTGCTGCAATTGTTTTAAATGTTGTATGTTTTTGTACGTCTGTGTATATTCTGAAACGTACACGAAGCACTCTGTCTGATTCGACATGTTGTAATACTTCAAATAGTTGCATTGTAACAAAACTACTTCTTGCTTTTCTTGTGGACTTTCTTCTTACATCTCTTTCTCCCTCCTTCTTTTGGTCCCTAAATGGGAGAGCAAAGAGACCCATAATACAACTAATGAGAAAAAGAAGTTAACATGGATGCTGCCCTCTCTTGACCTGTACAGGAGACCACCGCGGCCCAATGAGCTCCGTTTTAACGTGGAAACATGGAAGTGTGTTTTGGGGGCATTTGGGAACGTACACCTCGATGCCATTTTCTCCTCCTGCACTGTTCTTCACGCTCTCCCCCGGCCTCCTGTGATTGCATCACATTCTCATGGTCTGTGTTGATACAGGTGCTGGACCCCCCGGGGCCCCACACAGACACGCAGACCAGCAGACTTTGGCTCATGGCGGACAAACCCATCGCATCTCATTTGAGCCGGACAGTCGTTTGTTCCAAAAGAGTTAAGCTAAAAACATTATTTTTTTGGGGGGGGGGCGGGCCCTAGCAAAGTTAACAAGGAAATAAATGATGATGAATGATAATTTGATCAGTGACCGATGAAGAGGGACGTGACTGACCACGGTTGTCCGTATAGTTGGAATCTCTGTTTCTATGTTTAATAATCGGGTGATCATGAGGATCATGTCTAATCTCAGTGTTGTTCACCGGATGCCCAGACGGGGGCGATGTGTTCTGAACTGAACCCAGGCCATGCTTTTTCCAACTGCCTCATGAAGGGCTGGACGGCTCCCAGGCGGGTCCTCTTGTCCTCAGGAGGCCGAGTCCTGATCACAGACCCTCAGACTCCTTCAGATAATCACTTTGCACTGTCGAACAGATCAGTGAGAAAACATACACGTAAACTTATGCATATGTGCATGCTTTTTGTAAAAGTTATTCTAGTTGAAAACAGAAACTGACTTATAGGACAATACACATTACAGGACACAAATGTCCCCTTTACGGTAACTGTCTCTCCAGGGTCCTGACTGAGTCCAGAGGAGATGGGCTGGGTTTGACCAGCGGACGGAAACGGGAGGGAGGTCAGGAAACAGCTGCTTAAAACCCTGAATTATCGTTTTGGACACGTCTCATTTCCACGCGCGTCCTCCGAAGCACAATAGATACACAGTATAGTTTGGGGAGATAGTCTCTGTTTCATTAAAGTAGTCGCTGGTTAAAACGAACAGCGAAATGCTGTTTACACATTAACATGTCAGCATCGAATCCAATACACTCGGTAATTGCTCTGCAGAATCTGCCCTTGTTTCCAGAAAATGTAATTTTGCTAAACTCACCATACGTTGACGACAATGATATCTGTGTATCTTTGAATCAAATGGGACTATAAGTGCACAACTTGTGTTTTTGTAATGTGACGCACGGTGTGTCGTGGTGGTCTCACTAATCGTGATACCTCTTCCCGCACAGTGAACAGACCTGGTCACACCATCTCGTGCGGTTACCTCGTTCGAACCCATTTCTCTCTCTCTCTCTCACACACACACACACACACACACACACACACACACACACACACACACACAGCTCTGAAGACAAACACTGTTCTATCAGTGGGTGAATGGCTCTATCCATGTGGAACTGAGGATGAGCACATCTCAATTAGAGGGAGGGAAAGTAGGGGGAGGGGGGGGGGGGACCCGGGTAAGTACCTCATGGTTTGGATAATACTGTGTGAAGTACATGAACATGTGGGCTGCTTTCCCCAAATTGCAGTGATTCTCCATCCAGCTCCCCGGGCCTGTAATTTGGGCGTGTGCCGCCCATAAAGGAAGGAAAAATCCCTCTTCTCTAAACTAGGCGGTCTGGATCTGCAGTCAGGACACTCATCATCATCTTCATCTTCATCCTCCTCAGTCAGCAGACAGCATCTCCCTCCCTCCCTCTCTCTCTCTCTGGCTGTCCCTCCCTCAGACACCCCCACAATCCCCCTCTCTCTCTCTCCGTCTCTCTAAAGTCGAACATCTCGCCTGCTCTCTTCTTCTTGACACACGGCAAAACATGTCTGCAAACGGCGCCGCGGGGGACCTCCTGCAGATCCCTCTGGGGCTCATCAACGTCGAGGGCAAATACCTGACGGCGGAGACCTTCGGCTTTAAAATCAACGCCTCGGCCGGCAGCCTGAAGAAGAAGCAGACGTGGACCCTGGAGCAGAGCGGCGAGGACGGCAGCGCCGCGTTCCTCCGCTCCCACCTGGGCCGCTACCTCGCCGCGGACAAAGACGGCAACGTGACCGCGGACAGCGAGGCGCGCGGCGGCAGGGACTGCCGCTTCGTGGTGACCGCGCACGAGGACGGCCGGTGGTCCCTGCAGTCCGAGCCCCACGGCCGCTACCTGTGCGGCAGCGAGGACCGGATCACCTGCTTCGCGCAGGCCGCCGCGCCGGCGGTGAGGTGGAGCGTGCACCTGGCCGTGCACCCGCAGGTCAACCTGTACAGCCTGGCGCGCAAGCGTTTCGCGCACCTGAGCGAGCGCGAGGTGTCGATAGACCGCGACGTCCCCTGGGGGGTGGACTCGCTCGTCACGCTGGTCTACCGCGACCAGCGCTACCACCTCGGCACCTCCGACAACCGCTTCCTGCGCAACGACGGCGGCCTGGCCGCGCGCACGGAGGCGCGCACGGGGTACGTGCTGGAGTTCCGCTCGGTGAAGGTGGCGTTCCGCGACTGCGACGGCCGCTACCTGGCGCCCTCGGGCCCGACCGGCACGATGAAGTCTGGCAAAAGCACGCGGGCGGGGAAGGACGAACTGTTCGGCCTCGAGCGCAGCCACGCGCAGGTGGTGCTGACCGCGCGCAACGAGCGCAACGTGTCCACGAGGCAAGGTGAGGCTCCGCGGGGGGGGGGGCATTTTACCATGCAGGATTGCAGGATTGTGATGCGCGTCTGTGGCGGAGAGGGACATAATGAGAGACTCCCGCTTCTTCATTTCTCTCCCCCCCACACCATGTGTCTTTCATTATCATACTCTCACTTTCTCCCCCACCCTCCCGTCGGCCGGCCCCTGCCGTTAGCTTGACATTTTCTCTGCAGTAATTCTACCCCTGCATTGTGGCTGCTGGTTCAGTTTCAGCCTGCAGTCGAGCTCTGATTGTGCATCTCTGAATGGGACGAGACGTAGAGGACCTGGAGGAGACAAAGAGGGGAGGAAAGGCAGTAAAAAATACAGGTGGTTGTGACTCAGACGTTGCTTGATGTGGGTCTTTGTGCAGCCTCTTTGTCTTGTCGCCACTCAGTCGCAGTCTGCCGTGCACATACGGATCACTGACAGCAGAGTGTGTGTGTGTGTGTGTGTGTGTGTGTGTGTGTGTGTGTGTGTGTGTGTGTGTGTGTGTGGAAGACGATCGTGTTGTGATGAGGTCGTTGTAGGTCAGTGACTGCAGAGGGTGGGAGCCCCCGGTACCTTCAGTGGACGAACGCTGTTTTTTGTGTCAGGTCCCTTAATGAATCGCTGAATGTTGTGGAAACAAATGGCCACACTGACAATGAGTCCAATTATCGAGGTCAAATGAGAACCTGCCGTGCGGGGAAGGTGTTGCTGACGGATCCACGGAAAACCCACCAAGCGCGTTCATGTCCTGCAGCTCGTTGTTTTGGTCGCATCCCACCATGGCAGCCAAAGGGACAAATCCTTCCCTCCAGTTTAGTGTTCACCCAAATGGAGCTTGACGGAAGCAGAGTATTGGGCTTTGCTTCATCAGCTGACCAGAAACTACATCAGTTTGATGTTTGCATGAACGCTAGTATTTCATGCATCCATGTACTATGTTTTTAAAGTGCACAGCTTGACAGGTTGTGTTTGTTTTTAATGTTCTGTATTCTACCAGGCCCTCACTTTTTAAACACTGTTTTGCTTAAAGTCTTTCAGAGTAAAAGTCCTACATTTCTGAGACTTGTTTGTGTCTTCAGAGATCTTTGTCCACTGTATCGTCATTAGATCACAATGCAATCATAAGACAATTTTCGGCAGATTTGACTGATAACTGCAGCTATTCATTCACATTCAATGCGGAAATTCTAATGTTATGAGTCCAGAAGGATTCATACCAAGAAATAATCAAATGTACAATGTTTCATAGTTTTCCACATTGAGAATTGACTTGTAGGCAGATTTTAAGAATCTCTCTGGGGATCCTCACAAATTAAGCATGAGCCGAGTTTAAATCAAGGAGGAGAACCTGCAGGGACGAAATGACAACGCACTGCTCCGCTGTCCTCCAGGCATCGACCTGTCAGCCAATCAGGACGAGGAGGGGGACCAGGAAGTCTTCCAGTTGGAGATGAGCCGCGAGGACAGGAAGTGCGCCTTCAGAACCGCCGCTGGGAAATACTGGACTCTGACAGCGAGCGGAGGACTGCAGTGCACTGCCTCCACCAAGTAACCACACACACACACACACACACATTGCATCATGCTAAATATGACACAAGTTCACACACTGGATCTCTGCGTTTGTGTCGAAGGTCAGCTGACAGCTACTTCGAGCTGGAGTGGCGTGACGGTCGCGTGTGTGTGCGTGCGGCCAACAGCAAGTACGTGATCGCTAAGAGGAACGGACAGCTGGCTGCCACCGTGGACAGCGCAGGTCAGTGACGGGTCTCTACGGGGGGGGTCCAGTTGCCTGGACCGGTACCTTCTCTGGGAAAGACCGATATCTGACCTCATCTTTCCATCTGAACGACGAGGAGCAGTACCGAAAACAAGATCTTTTTTGGGGGACAACGAAGCCTGTCTCCTGTCTCTTCAGGGGAGGCGGAGCAGTTCCTGATGAAGCTCATCAACCGTCCCATCATCGTCCTTCGCGGCGAGCACGGTTTCATCGGCGCTCGCAAGCCAGGACTGGCGACTCTGGACTCCAACCGAGCATCGTACGACGTTTTCCAGCTGGAGTTCCACAACGGCGCTTACTCCCTTAAAGGTTAGCATTGCCTGTTAAACACCTGCCTTCTAGAGGCCAGAGGCGCCATCACGTTCGCGACCTTGTGGCGTATCGTTGTCGTGCCGTCTGTCCAGACTCCCAGGGCAAGTATTGGTGCGTCGGAGACGACGCGGCGGTGGCGTGCGGCAGCGACGCTCCTGTCCAGTTCCTCCTTGAGTTCTGCGACCTCAACAAGATGGCCATCCGCGCCCCGGGGGGGAAGTACCTGAAAGGGGACCACGCCGGGGGGCTCAAGGCCAGCGCCGACTCGCTAGACGGCGCCACCCGCTGGGAATACTGAGGAGGAGCACAGCCGAGCTTCACTGTCCAAGCCGACCCTTCCAACTATTCATAGATACTGTAGGTAGCTGTTCTTTCTTGCATATGTGTGTGTGTGTGTGTGTGTCATTGCACCTCCAGTCACATTAACACCACTGTACCTAACAAAGGTGAGGACGATTGCTGTTCGTTGTGCGCCTCTCCGTGGTGTACGAGAACGTATTGAAGTCTATAACTCATAATACCGTTAAATGTCCCACGGTCTCTTAACGCTGCTTTCCGCTCCTCTTTTTCAGACTATAAAGCACAACACGCATCAGATTAATGATCGTTGGATCGACATGTTTCTGCTGTAAATAAAGGCTGTCTTTGTTGGTGAATGCTTCAAAAAACGTAGTAACCATGGAAACTGAGTTCAAGTGTGTTTTGGGATGGGATGGCAGATTTAACCACCTTAAGGATCCTTTGTACTGACCGATACAACCACATGAAGTAGTCAAAGGTTTCCCTTTTTAATGACCGTAATCCCATCCTGACTTGGTGTAATGTTTTTGATCACTTAAAAAGGAAACAAATGGAGCTTTTTTTTGGATTGACTCACTGAGAAGGAATAGTTACTCTCCATGCACGTAAACATGCAGTCCTGGATACATTTAATTCTTCCAGTGACTCAAAGTCTGCACAATAATGTCCCAATTGCGAAATGTCCAAAGCACATGTGTGTCTTCGGTTGGGTGCTGCTGTGTTTAAACACGATGAAAGAGTCTCTCTGGCTGTAATTGTGGCCTTGCCTTCCATAGAGCACTTCAGTCTTTTTCATCTTCTTGCATTTGAAATCAACACAATAAAGTTTTTCCTCTTGACAGCAGAACGTCTTGATTTCATTTTTTATTCATCACTTTCTGAATGCATTGATGTATATTTCACAGACCTTCCTGCCAACTGTTTTTAATGAGCTGTTTTTTCGACCAAACGTGAAGTCTCAAAGGACACTGTTGGCAGTAAGGTGACACGTGGCTGCACTGTGGCACCAGCAAGCGAGTCCTGCAGGAACCTAAAACACTAAAGTGAGTCAGCTTTTTATTTATCCTGCTGAACAAACTAGTTTTGTCAAATTTTGTTGGTGCCAGAACAAATGTTCTGAATTAATTTAATTAAGAAATTGCTTTTTTTGTCAAAAGGAACCAATGCAAATCTCCTGCAATCCTTTTTTAATCTATTTCCAAATATCCGCATACTATTGACACTGTTTAGTGCTTTTTGGCTTATATTGGCACGTTAACACGCCAAACTCCCATTATCTGCTTAACGTTAGCTTCCCAGACTTCATAATGTGGGTAAACATAGAATAATGTAATGTCCGCCTGCAGAGGTTCTTTGAGGGTAAGAAATCGTATGACCTTAACAAGCTGGAGTCAAATGAAATGGTGCATTTATACTGTTATTAAATCAAATCAAACAATGAATTGATCCTGCTAGACAGCTTAATATATAATATTCATGTTTCTTCTTTCACCCTAAAAAATGGATCATTATTATAGAAAATAGAACATCCAGGCTTCAGTTTAACGATCCAAAAACCGCCATCTTGTGCTGTTAAAAAAAAAAAAAAATCCATTGTCATGATTTCTACCACCGCTGTAGTGTGGGAGCAGGATGAAAGCGCCACGTCCCCCTGGAGATCTCGCTGTGCCAAAACTGTAGAAGGGAAAGGGAGGAACGGGTGGAGGGCGGTAACCTACTCCACTTTCTCCATCCTGCTGCAGAGGAAACTTGGCTCTCCTCCTCTTTGAAAACAGTCAACCTGACGTGTGCCACGCTTCACGTGTGCGATCTGACAAAGACAAACACAGGAACCAACCCGACCGGCATCCTACAGCCCCTCACAGAAGCTGCCTTGCATGTTGCCATGGTAACAGGTAAATGGCAGGCCATGAGGAGGAGGAGGAGGAGGAGGAGGAATGTTCGGAGGTGCGTCACACAGACTATGAATCGATAAGCTTAATCAACCTTGTAATAATTGAAAGAGGACCTGTATAAATTAGAGCTTTAACATGTGCTCACAGGAATAGAACAATACTCTCACACAGCACTTGAGGGGACGACGGATGATGAGCGGAGGAGGAAGACCGGAGATGAACGAGGTGGAAGATGAAAAGAGAAGATGTGCTTATTTTAAGAGAATCATCCAGCCTCTTAAAGGGGGACATGGCCTAAATGAAGTATTCCAATATGTTATTTCCACATGAGGTACACTCAGTAAGTCTCAATCCGGTGATGTCACCGGGTATAAAGTTTGCAGCTGCTCCACAAACAACGGACGGGACATTCATTAAAGGCCACACGTTTAGGTGGATTTCATCAATGGTTGGATTTGGCTCAGAGTGTAAGCGGTGGAAAGCTTTGGAAGAAACCCAGTAAGTGGACATCACAAGTTAAAAAATATTTTAAATGTCAAGGATGAACTTTTTCTTGACCGAAACTTTTAATAAGAATGTACGATAATTTTACATGGCTGAATTACAACAGCAGTATTCCAGTCTGCATAACTTCTGAAAAGGTTTAACTGATGAGTCTGATGCTGCCATCTAGTGCGGACGATTTGAAGGTGATCTTGAGCTTTTTATCTACAAGACAATTTAGAAGCCTCTGTTTTTCATGACTCAGGCTCGTTCCGGTTCAAAATGTCATTGTCAACATTGCATGAGCAGGTAGATCAATGAAGTGTTCCATCAGCTTGTTGTGGGAACTTAACTGTCCTGACCTTTGCTAGATGCTGACCGTGAACCAAACTGTATCACCAGACATCTTTGGGAACATGTGTTGTGCTTAAATAGGATCAAATCGCTGGAACCAGGTTCCAAATAATTGTGTTCATCCAGAAGTCATAGCAGGAAATGAACGCCCATCGCTTGGGAATTAAATGATGAACAATTTCACGTGGCTGTAATATTATGGTTTCCCTGTACTTTCGAGCTATTCTTTGCACATGTAACGCTGCAAAGACGCAGTAAAGTCTGCTATTCAAAAGACCTGTAACCGCTCCACGAAGAGGTCCATGTTGAACGCTGCCTGACGGCTGCATATAGTGAAAGTAACGTTACAACCACCAACCCGAAGCGGTTCCTGTCTTATTTGCTCCCTTATATTGGACAACAAACTCGTGCAGGCGCCTTAATGCACTCACACATTGACAAATTATCACAGCATCTGTTTGCCATCGGAGAGCCACGTCCAGCCCGGACGGTGCTACTCAGGATGACACAGAGAGGTTGGTTTCGCATCTCGTGACAATAAGAGAAACGACCCCATTCACACACGTGTCACTTGCTATCTACAGCTATCTGCTGTGCTATCATTCTGTTCCTCAGTGCTTCTGAAGAAACCCATGCCGGTGTGGTCCACTCAGGCGTACTTGAAATTGGGAAAGCGGTCCTACGACATTTGTCAATGTTGCTATGGCGCCTTTGTGAACCTCGAGTACATTTTCCTCCTCGTCCACACGATTTGCAACGGGTATATAAGACATCAAAATATGATTCATATTTTGAATTCATGGTGACACACTGTCAAGTGGAACAAAGAGGATAAACAAGGCCACGGGCGTCACGATCTTTTAATACAGCTGCACTCTCCTCATCCACTTATGCTCCTCTTATGTTCCTCTACTTATCTAAAGAAACAACACACAAAAACATCAGAGCGGACAATAATAGCAGCGGGGCTGATGAAAGAACATGTGCGCTGTGTTGTTTTATAACATGAAATATTCTTTTTTTATACGGCAAGGAGGTTTGTGCAGAAATATATATTGTCGGCGTGCAAGCCGTGCTATCATTCGCCAAATGTAGTGATGCAAGTAAATACATTAATGTTAGAGTAAACAACATTAATGTTGTAGAACATTTGTAGTCATTTCGATACAAATTAAAAAAAGAAACAGGAATATCATTCTTTGAACGACTTGTGTTGCGTTAAGTAAAACAATAAGAGTTGAAAATAAAGACAAATATACCAGAATACAGCGCATGACGTGCTTTGGTCTGAGCACAGCAGGAGGACTATGTGAGTCACATCGTCTGTGAGCGTTGAAAATAATAATAATAATAATAAGGAAAATAACTGTTATGAGTTATGGAGTGAAGGCTTCTATTGTAAGTTATAATGGAAAGTGAGTGGGGATAATAATAGATACTTAATACTTAATAATAGAAATAATATTTGCAGTACTGGACCCTTCGGGCTGGGATTTGGGAAATGCTGCCTCTTACTGACAAGAAAACGCATTAACTCCTCAACGGATATTCAAACTGTCCCCCGACCTGGTGGGCCAGCTGTGGTGGAATGATATGTTATCAAAGGACAACAATACACAAAACAATGTTTAAAAGCTCCTTGTCTGAACGTTATTAAGTAATTTAAACAAAATGTAGCCCCTTAAGGCATCATAAGTAAAAGTAACCAACTCAGAGTGAAATCACTCATTGAAAGACATGTTTGGATCACACTGTTTTTGGGTGACACTCAAGTAATTGTACTTTAAATACAGCTGACCACGTTTATGTACATATTCACCAGTCCAGTTGATATCCAGACATTTTTATACTGGATCCAAACGACAACAGAACAAATTACTTGTATGTAATATAACATTTGTAAGTACGTTATTGCTACATTTAAGTAGCTTAACCAGCACTAGTGTGACTTTAACGTAACATAACATGTGAATACAACAACTGTGTTTTCGACAACTGCTCCATTAAATCCCACTCAGGCGTCATTTTCGTCGGCAACGTGTTCCGGGCAGCGACCGGAAACCCGCACTCAGCCAATCGCAACGCCGAATGCGGCCTCCGCGCCCGCTGATTGGCTGTTTCTGGCACCTCGCTTCCCACGATGCTTTGCGGCGCGACTTGGAATTCAAATCGAGTGGACCAATCACAGCGCGCCGTGACGAGCGAGGCAGCATTTTAAATTTGCAGCAGAGAAAGACTGTTATCGAGGAGAAGGGCAGGACGGAGTAACGCCGCAGTCGCCGCAGGGAGAGTCCGGCGATTATTTGCATGTTTATTTTGCCTTTTTTATTTTTTTAAACTTAACAACCGCACGCGTTACATTTTGTTATCGTTTAGTCCAAAGGTTTGAATGACGTTGGCCTCCACAGGTGGTTAACGATAGTTTTGATTTGAATTCACGGGCTAGCTTCCGGGGCTAAACTAACGTCGGCTAAACAATAGTTCGGCCCTGTCGACACGTCGGTCGCAGAAGTTTAATTTTTAAAAGACGCGAGCACTCTTAAGATTAAATAACAATGAGCGCAGCCACCGCGAAGCCGGCGGCACATGTCGACCCCAAATCGGCTCCACTCAAAGAGATCCCCGAGGTCCTGGTCGACCCGCGCACCATGAAGCGGTACGCGAGGGGCAGGTTCCTCGGGAAAGGCGGCTTCGCCAAGTGCTACGAGATCACGGACCTGGAGACGCAGCAGGTTTTCGCCGGGAAAATCGTGCCCAAGTCCCTGATCCTGAAGCAGCACCAGAGGGAGAAGATGACCTCCGAGATCGCCATTCACAAGAGCCTCAACCACGCCAACGTCGTCGGTTTCCATGGCTTCTTCGAGGACGACGACTTTGTCTTCGTTGTCTTGGAAATCTGCAGGAGACGGGTGGGTGTTTTATGGAAGACAATAAATAAAAAATATTATAATTTTATATTTTATATTTTATATTTTAACGAGCGCAGAAACTCTTAAGATTAAATAACAATATATATATATATATTAAAAAAAAAAACTTAAATGTGTCCGACTCTATTTCCTCTTTGCTGCCATGGTCGCCTCCTAAATGTTTGCACTGTATTAGTTGCTCATTCCTTCCACTAATAATCAATTTGACACCACGGCCTCTCAAAGCTCCCACAGTGGCCCCCCTGTTTTAAATCAATAAGTAAGTTTGTTTTGAGCTGTTTCACTGTATTCTTTAAATTCCACGTGTGTGACGTGTACTCCTTTTTTTGCCTCTTTCAGTCCCTGTTGGAGCTGCACAAGCGCCGTAAGGCCGTGACCGAGCCCGAGGTCCGATACTACATGACCAAACTGCTCAACGGCATCCAGTACCTGCACAACAACCGCGTCATCCACAGGGACCTGAAGCTGGGCAACATCTTCCTCAACGACGACATGGAGGTCAAGATAGGTAATGTGTGCCGTGGGATAGCGCGTCTCTGACGCCTAACGAACCTGTTTGTCCGGTTGTCAATGGGCCTCTCACCAGGAAGCTGTCGCACACACCGGCGTCCTGGTTGAGCGGTGTGGAATTCACCAGCCCAAAAAACCCCCCAGCTTCCAACAGGGAAATGTGCACACGAAGCCTATAAATAAAGCTCTGTTGTCCCGTCTGTCTTTAGGGGACTTTGGTTTGGCCACAAAGATCGAGTTCGACGGGGAGCGGAAGAAGACTCTGTGCGGAACGCCCAACTACATCGCGCCCGAGGTGCTCTGCAAGAAAGGCCACAGCTACGAGGTGGACATCTGGTCGCTGGGGTGCATACTGTGAGTCTGAACACACACACACACACACACCTAATGGGGGTTTTAAAGCTCCTTTCTGTTCCTATAAACGTTCCACTTGATGGGGTCTAATCTGCGTGCGTCCTCCCAGGTACACTTTGCTGGTGGGAAAGCCCCCGTTCGAGACCTCCTGCCTGAAGGAGACCTACAACCGCATCAAGAAGAACAACTACACCATCCCCTGGGTGAGCGAGACTCGAGCATCACGCGCTACGCCTCCCGTGTGCTTTAAAAAAAAAAATCTAACTCTGTGGCCCGATTTCCCGTCTCCGCCCGCAGCACATCAACCCGCTGGCGACGGCTCTCATCAAGCGGATGCTGCACGCCGAGCCCGCCCAGAGGCCCACCATCGCCGAGCTGCAGGCCGACGAGTACTTCTCCACCGGCTACATCCCGCTGCACCTGCCCACCACCTGCCTCACCGTGCCCCCGCGCTTCTCCATCGCCCCCTCCACGGCCGCCGAGCTCAACCAGAGGCGGCCCCTGACGGCCATCAACAACAAAGCCGGGACGGAGAAGGCGGACGGCAAGGACGAGCCGGCGCAAAGGCGAGATCTTTTTTGAGATTTGTCTTTTCTTTTTTTTACGACTCAACGATTTCGTGTATTTTAACCGTCGTTGTTTTCCACAGAGAGCCCGAGCCGACCGAGTGCCACCTGAAGGACCTGCTGCAGCAGCTCAACAGCATCATCGCTGCCAAGCCCTCCGAGAAGGCGGTCATCTGCCAAGGTGAGAGACCCCACCTCCCCCCCCAGTTCAGTCGGCAGACCCCCCCTCCCTGCCTCTTCAGATGTTGTTCAAGAGGTGACTTTGTTCTGTTGTTGTGTTTGTAGAAGAGGCCGAGGACCCCGCCTGTGTGCCCATCTTCTGGATCAGCAAATGGGTCGACTACTCTGACAAATATGGATTGGGTAAGAAGATTACGTCCGTTTGTCATTAATCAAGAGACTGAAAAAAAATTGGTTTTGTTTCTTATTGACTGATAAGGCAAAGAGGGTTTATATTTTTAGTTTAGTCCATTAAGTTGGTGTCAGACAAAATGTATTTTTTACAGCTAATAATTTGCACCTGGAATGAAACCGAAGACACCTTTTCTTGTTAAATGCTGAAAATCGAAGACTCAGTGATTCTGTTCCATCGACTTCATTCAACCAACCACAAAGTATTTACTTTTAACGCTGTAGCGAAAAGCACCGCGTAGTGTTTCCACCAGAGCACCTCCAATAAATCCATATTTAATAAGAGCTCCTCACCGGACGGTTTCTGACGCGCGTCCTTTCTTTCTTCAGGCTACCAGCTGTGCGACAACAGCGTGGGCGTTCTCTTCAACGACTACACGCGGCTCATCATGTACACGGACGGGGACAGCCTGCAGTACATCGACAAGGCGGCGGTGGAGAGCTACCTCAGCGTGCGCAGCTTCAACTCGTCCCTCCACAAGAAGGTGAGCGCCGCGCTCGCCGGGGGAGGCGCCTCCCTTACTTTTAAGCGCGGCGTGGGTGCTGACCCCCCCCCCCCGCTTCTTTTCCAGGTCACGCTGCTGAAATACTTCCGCAACTACATGAGCGAGCACCTGCTGAAGGCCGGCGCCAACATGGCGCGGCGGGACGGCGACGAGCTTGCGCGCCTCCCCTACCTCTCCCTGTGGTTCCGCACCAAGAGCGCCATCGTCCTGCACCTCTCCAACGGCACCGTGCAGATCAACTTCTTCCAGGTGAGGGGGGGGCAGCGGCGGCGGGACGACTCCAGGTTCCAAAACGCGCCGTTTCTTTTCTTCTCCTACCATTTTTAAATTCCCTCCCCCGTTCTCCGGCAGGACCACACCAAGCTGATCCTGTGCCCGCTGATGGGCGCCGTCACCTACATCGACGAGAAGCGAGAGTTCCGCACCTACAAGCTGTCGCTGCTGGAGGAGTTTGGCTGCTGCAAGGAGCTGGCCAGCCGCATGCGCTACGCCAAGCTGATGGTGGAGAAGCTGCAGGACAGCAAGCAGGCCCCCGCCGCCCGCTAGAGCACTCGCACCCCTCCCTCTCCTCCTCCCTTGCTCCGAGGACACTTGTCTCCCCCCCCCCTCTGTATTTTATTGAAGGGTCCCGGCGTAGTGATGCTTGCGTCCTGGTGCGTACATGTTGTACATGAATGTTTTCTACGCCACTGATTTTTGTCCTTTTTTTTGTTCTTCCTGCTGTGATGAACTTGACGTTCTTGTGATGCTTAATCCTGACTAACGCGTCCCGGCAGAGGTAGATCTTGCGCGGCTGCCGCTCTCGGACGAGGACGGGATGTTGGGAGTTTAATCTCCCACAATCCTGCTTCATTCTGTTCATACAAAAGTCGAGGGGACCAATGACATTTATTCCCCCGGTCTGGTTCTTTTATCTGTTGTGTGTAGCGGGACCATGTTTATAAGTCTTCATCATGCACATTCTTCCTGTAGTTTTACTATTTTTATAAGTCTATTTTAGATGTCTTGTCTTTCGCAACAAGATGTGCAAACTTGTACATACGGATGAATATGCATACACGTTGTAAAGATGGTTAAATTTTACCCAAGTTAAAATAAAGATTCTCTTGAACTTGACTTCTTGTCAACTTTATTTTGAAACTGATTCACCGAAAAAGTATTGTCCTTAAAATGAATTTGACACCATTGTAATGCTTTCTGCGTTGCAGCGGTTAGGGATTTAAGCAAGAAGTGCACCCCTAGTGGTGGCAATTCTAATACGTGTAGTGTTATTTATTATCTTAGATGAAGTGAATGCAATATGAATCAAACACAATGTAGTCATGTAAATCATATAAACTGTACACATTAACATTCTGTCACAATAAAATGTTCACCTGGGGACTGATGCTAATTGTCGTCCTTTATGGATTTCTCCCAATTTTTTCCCCAAAGAGGGTTTTTTGGGAGTTTTTCTCCTGACAGGTAGATGAGCAACTGAAAGAAAGACAGCCGATTGAGGAGAATGTCTTGAGTATTGGACCACATGAGCTGTATTAGATCTTAGGATGTAGTGTGAACGGTGATCACTTATGTGTTGTAATTAAAGTGTACTAGGTATCAGGAATCAGGAAACATTAGCCAAAATATGTCAAACATACAAGGAATTTGTCTTGGCGGTTAGTGGGCGACAGTAGACAGACAAGACAACAGTGCACAAGTAATAAAATAAAGTGGAATGAAATGCTAATGCAATGGGTTAGTAGAATAAGGCTATGGGTTAGTATAAAACATTTTAAATATTAAAAAGTTAAAAAATAATATTAAGCATAAAGTGCACTAACAAACAAGTTTGTCACAACAGACAAGTGACAAAGTGATGAATTGAGGTATAAGGTATAAGATGAATGCATGCTTTGTTATATTCACTCATTGAAGCACAAAGCCAAATGTATCTACATTGAATGCATTGGAATGTGAGGGACAGAGAGGTTTCAGGTTGCAGCTGCAGCTTCACACCTCGACGTGAAGAGGACAATCCAGGAGGAGACACGTTTGAAGGAGACGCCAATGACATTCAAATGCACCCAAGAAGACAAACCTCAGGAGATTTAAAATGACCAAAGCGGGGAAAGAACAGTCACAATTCTCAATTCTCCTGCAGCCGCTTTGATAAGTCACTTTAGACTTGGTCAGAGTATTCTCTTTCGCCTTGTATTTCACTTTGAAACTGTTCCTTATCACTTTGTTTAATTATTAAATACATTTAGATTTTTAGATTTGAGCAAGTTGACTCTTGATTCCTCGTTTCCGGCCGGGACGAGAACAAAGGAGTGAGTCCCACTGGAGGGCTTTCCCAACCCTTAACACAGCTGCTGTCTGATAAATAGTTTAATAAATTACTATTAGTATTAAAACGTGTAATTGCAACCATTTATTATACAAGCAGTGTGTCTAATGTACAGTCAGGCCACACCTGATGGTTTTGTTTCGGTTTCAGCCTAATGATGGCTTGCTTCATATAGCGACAGCTCTTTGGACTTCTCCAAACACAAATACCACACCTGAAATTAACTCTAGACCTTTTATCTCCTTGTGAATGAAATAGTGAGGGAATTACACACACCTGACAATTGTCCAATTACTTTTGGTCCCTTAGAAAGACGGTGGCCACATTGGAATTTGCTGTAACTTTTAGTGTTCACCCGATTTGGATGCAATTACCCAGCTCAGATTAAAGCTGAAAGTCTGCACTTAAAGCACATCTTGTTTCATTTCAACTCCATTGTTGTGGCGTGCAGAGACAAAATAATGAAAAATGTGTCAATGTCCAAATATTTATGGACCTGACTGTAGGTGGCCAGAAAGGTGTTATGAGGAAGTAGTTTGCACGCGCATTCTTCATGGAACAACAAGCGCTTTTTGTGAGAAGCAAACAGTGAATGCATCGTATGAATGTTGCGTTAAGCAGTGACGCCGTGAACTCTGCTCAGGAGCGAGCACAACAGAATGTAAATATGAAAACTAAACTAACAAAGCAACACTGAGTGGATTATTACAGAATACAAGTAGACAAGAAATCCGTCAGGATGAACGTTTAATGTAAATTATAAAAACAAACTTCAGCCACATTTTTTCCTGAAATATCAGACGTACAGCAAAGTATTTAAGTAATACTGGGGCCCTAAAAACAACGCCGTCTTTTTTAGATTAACATATAAATACCAACAGTCTTTTTTTTTTTCTTTCTCGGTTTCCAATCTTCACGCCGCGCCGCACCAGACGTTTCTTCTTGATAAAAGCGCCGTGGCGTCCTCACCCGGCCCGGCCGTGCAAGGTCACGTCTCCGTTGTGGTGACCGGTCACCAGCGTGCCGCCGTCCCCCCATCGAGCCAGCTGCCAGCCGTCGCTCCCGGGAGCCCCCACCATCCGCGGGGCCCCCCGGCCCCCCAGCTCCCACACGCACACGCAGCCGCTCCGACTCAGGCCGACCACGCCGCCGCCGCCGCCGCCGACGTCGGCTTCGCACAGCCTGAGGGACGCCGAGGCAGACGCACAATGAGGACGGATGTGTCCCGGATGTGCCAGGGGACTACAGATGCAAATGAGCTAAAGATTCAAACTGTGCACCGCCCCTTTTAAACGACGGGGGACGCCGTGCCGTCCACTCACCTGCCGCTCCAGCCTTCGGGGGGACGCAGGCGGGAAGCCAGCGCGGACCTCCCGCTCAGAGGGTTGACGGCGACCAGCGACAAGAGGGCGGCGCTCTGCCTCTCGTCCTCGTCCTCCTCCTTTTTGGCGCCGTCCTCCGGGGAGCCGAGCTGCTGGTGCTGCAGCAGGACGAACAGCGCCCCCTGTGCACGCGCAACAACAAGAAGGCACACTTCACAACGCACACCTGGGAACGGCGGTCCCCCGAGGAGCTGCTGCAAGTACTTCGACTTACACGGGAGGAGAATCCTCTGAGGCAGGACGCGTGGGACAAACCGTCTCCGAGGGCGATTCTCCGCAGCAGCTGCCCGGTCTTTAAATTCCTGGAGAATTAAAAAAAAAATCTTTGACTGTACACGAGAGGGCCTAAAATTTACCTAAAATAGTAAACATGGATCGCTCAGGTTGAGACATTTAGTGTGTAGTATAATGTTTGCTGTTTTCAAAGGGTTAAGACTTTTCTCAAATAGAAGTGTGCTCTTATTTTGAAATAACGATGAAAAGACGATCAGCATTTAAACAACACAAAATTTAAACAGAAAGGAGCTTAAATTTCAAAAGCGCTACATTCATATTCATACATTCATATTCATACATTCATACACAATTGATACCTTTTAGTTTTTGAACTCGTTAATACCAACTAAAATGTCAAATGTTCTTGCTCTATTGGTGAACAGGTGAACACAAGTTAAGTTCATGTCTTTGTGCTACGAGGCGATGGCGTCTCCGTCATGATCGTGCTTACCAGACGAAGAGGCGCCCGCCATCGTCTGAGCCAATCAGAGCATCTGAAAGTCCGTCCACTGGAGCGAGAGACCCGACACAAACACCCGGGGACGCCAGAGGCTGAGAGCTCCACCTGGAGGAGGGGGGGGGGGGCGAGGTGTCCGAGCAGCAAGGAAATAATAAGTAATACATTTTATTCATGTAGCGCTTTTACACATTAAAAGCAGATCTAAAAAGGTGCGTTTCAGCGCCGTCTGTGACGTGTTTGAGGAGCGAGTTCCAGAGGGAGCGGCGATGGAGAAAGCTCTGTCCGACGGGAATGACGGGGAACAAGCAGGGCGCCGTGTCGGCCTTACCTGCCGCCGTCGGACGCCGCGAACACCCGCAGCGTGGAGCCGGACGGCGAGTGGGAGGAGACGACCACCCTGGACTCGGGCGCGCCCACGACGGCCTGAACGACGCCCTCGCAGAGCGGCGCCTGGGAGAGGCGGGAGCAGGACAGCACCCTGTGCACACGGGCGGCGGACACACAGCTCGGTAAGAGGAAGCGGGCGGGCTTTTAGGACGGCCGCGCGAGCGGAGCGGCGCGAGGAAATCGTTTGTGTTCACCTCACTTCGGTGATTTCCAACGGACCGAGAGTCACACACATCAGCCCGGCAGCATCCGGGACGGGGAACACACTGATGACCGGCTGGAGACAAACGCAGGCATCAATGAGGTGAGATTGAGTTGAAGTGAGCAACATTAAGAAAATATAGTATTTTATTTACATAAAGGCAAAGGTTTACATGAGGAAAACAAACAGCGAAGAGATGATAAAACAGTAAAACACACATAATCTCTACAGGTTAGATTGTTAATGACTGTGGTACGCAGCGTCCACCAGACAGCCTCCTGCCGGGGCCTGAACACACACACACACACACACACACACACACTCACCTTACTGAAGGCCCAAGTGTGTGTTAATCCCCAATCGGCCGCTGACGTCTGACTCCAGAGACACACGGTCCACTCTGCGGCTGCTGCCACGCACAAAGCGCCCGACGATCCACGCAAGCAGCACGCGTCCACCAGACAGCGTCCTGCCGGGGCCTGAACACACGCACACACACACACGCACGCACGCACACACGCACACACACACACACACACACTCTGTAGCGGCTGCAGATATTATAATAATTACTGCTGATGTTTTATTAAAGTACCTTTTACCTTCAGTGTGTGTGTGCTTCTCATCACGTGTTCCTCCGCCCCCCCCCCTGATCTCTGGGACTGGACCCCCGGAGCCGTCGTCCGGTCAGTAGGTTCGACTGGACAAAGCGGACTGGACGGGGCCTCGATCGGAGCGGCGGGGGAGGCGGCGGGGGAGGCGGCCGGCCGGCCGGGGGGGACCGGCGGAGAAGGGGAGAGGACCAGCGCGGCCGGACTGCTAGTGAGCGACGGGGCGGAGGGGGAGGAGGTCACAGGGACGGCGCCGCCGAGGGGGTGGGGGCTGAGGCCGAGCGACGGCAGGGTGGGGCTGCACAGGACGGCGGGGTGGGAGGGCGGACGCGGGGTCATCGAGGGGCCGGGAGGACTCAGCAGCAGCTGAGACGGGACGCTGCGGCGCGGGTCGCTCGGAGGACTCGCGGGGGGGTCGGAGGGTTCCTTTGAATCTGCAGCGGGGGATTTCCCACGCGGGCTCCCCCCCTCAGCTTCGCCGTGGTTACATAACCGCACGGCGTCGGCGCTGTCGGAGGGCTCCTCGGGGGGTCTCTGCGGTCTTGCAGCCCGGTGGTCCGTAGGCGTCGGATCCTCCAAAGCGGCGTCCGTTCGCCCTTCTGACGGGACGACGGACGACGCGCTTTCCCGCTCCGCCGTCTCGACGCGGCGGTCCGGGCTCCCAGCAGCTCCTTCCTCGTGGTCTCCAACCCGCTCCTCAACGGCGTCTCCCTGAGGCGTCTCCTCGGTCTCCTCGACGAGCTCCTCCTCTATTGGTGAGCTCGTTGCGGGACGCGGGGAACTTGGGAGTGTGGGCGTGAGGCTGCGCGGGAGCTCTGCCGCCGGGTCGCCGGCGGTGCACCGCGGCGTGAGGCGCGCAACCACTGGATCCGCGGCGACTTGGCGGAGCTTCAGCAGCTTCAAGGAGGCAAACTGCTCGTCGGGGAGATGGAAATCTTGCGGGAAGTCAAAGTTCAGCAGGTTGTTGAAGACGGGGGCCGGGAACTGAGGGGGCCGGGGAAGCACAGGAAGCAGGGCCGTCGAAGCAGGCGGCGAGGAGGGAAGGGGGAGAGATCGCCAGCATGCGGCGCCTGCAGGGCGGGGAGGGAAGGAAAAGAAATGAATGGGGGGGGGGAATCGATACACACAGACCCAAATAACAAAGCCTTACTTCTCCTACTCGTCTGTCTGGATCCGTTCGCCTCGCTCCTCAGGAAGATGGGGAAGACCTTCTTCGCGTGTCCAGAGGCGGAGCCTGGCTGGGTTTCTCCAGGGGAAGGAGGCGTGGCCGCCCTGCAGGCCGACGCAGCCTCCGGCTCGTCCCGCGCCGCCGCGGCTTGTCCCGGTCCCTCGCCTCCATGTGGGGGCGGGGCGGGGGCCCGGGGGTTGTCTGAGGTCGTTCCGAGGCCCGGTTGTTGATTTGGTTCTCCAATAAGTGGGCGCCGCGGGGTCCGCGTCCTCCCTCCGCCCCGGCCTCTACCTCTTCTCTTCCTCCCGCCTCTCGCCGGACGGGCGGCGGCGGCGATCGGGGGGGGGACGCGAGCGTCGCCGTCGATTTCACACCCCGGGATTGGGTCGGCCGTCTCTCTGGAGCTGTGGCCGTTGAGCTCGCCGGACGTCGGCGAGGACGAACATGCGGCGGTGCGGCGGTCCGAGCGCGTCGGGCCTCAAGCCGCGGCCCGCCCGATGGCGTCCGGCGCTCAGCTGGGAGAATAGGATGGCCTGCGTGTCCGGCTGGCTCTGCGAAAGGGTCATCCGTCTCGTGGTCCGGACGTAGTACTCCGCCGGGTAAAGTAGTCCTTCTCGTAAGGTACAAGAGTCCCGGGGACTGGCGCCCTTCCCGTCACGCTCTCCTCCAGTCAGCTCGCTCTCCTCTTCTCTGATCCCAGCCGCGTTCTCGCCACCCTTTTCTCTTTCTCTAAGCTCTGCTGCCATTTGTTCGGCGTCTCTTTCGCTGCCGCCTTCAAACAGCCTTCCGTCCCGGTCCTCTTTACTCTTCCCTCCTTCCTCCGTCTCCCTTCTGGCTCCCGTTCCGGTCCAACGCGGGAGCTCGGCGTCTGTCTCCGTTAGTCGTTCTCGCGTCTCTTCCCCCTCGTTACCTCCCGCTCCTCCTGCCCCGGGAGCGTTCCACTGCGGAAGCAGCAGGGACGGAGACTCGGAGTCGTCGCAGGACAGCGGCTCCTCGCTCTCGTTCGCGGCCTCCGCTCTGACTCCGCCCTCGCACCCTTCCGCCCCATCAGTCTCCATCCTGCCACATCGCTCCCGGGGTTCCTCGCTGTGGTCGTCGGCGCTCCCGCCGGCCTCGGCGCTCCTCCTTTCCCAGCGCAGGCGGCTGCGTCGAGACCGGAGGCGCAGGGCGGGACTCGGCCTGTGACCGTTGACGGCGTCGTGCCGGGGGTCCGGTGTCTGCGGGCCGACGGCAGCGGAGGGGAGCAGAAAGCGGATCACCGGGCTCTTCCTGGAGGCATCGGAAACTGCTGGAGCCGGTTAAAATAACATTTGAAAAAATGGGTGAATTTTGATTTGTACTGTTCGAACAGGCAAAAATGATTTGCTTACGGAGTAATTAAAGTGTAATATCAACAATATTATTTGCCTTTTATTTTAGGTCAGTCAGGGAATTAATTCAGGTGTCAAAACAAATATGACTTAACATTTGTACATGTTTACGTCCAATAAGTCTTTCGTTTTAAGTCAACTCTGCTTTATCGGCCGACACCTCCCATAAATAACCCAGCAGCCGTCACGCACAATAATGTAAATAAAAACTTGATGTATGACTACATGCAGTCAACAGAGCAGTGACTCTGTATACTGTATTGCACGAAGGGTTGAAGTCAATTACATACACATATTTAAAGCTGCACCTGGGAAATGAATCTATAACCTGCATCACTTTTAGATGTATCACTTCATGTATTTCTGTTTAAGGGCGGTGTTTGTTACAGCCTTACCTCCCGCGTGTCCCGGGCACGGAGCGGCGCGTGGTGCTGTCCCATTGGTGGCGTTCGGTACCCATGGTGATGGCTTGAGACGGGGACCCGGTGTCTCCTCCGGGTCTCTCTGGTCCTGGTCCTGGTCCTGCCGACCGATCCTGCTCCTCACATGTCTCCGCACTGCGTCCAGACGCTCGGCCCGCTGTGAGACCAGATCAAAGTGTGTGTGAGAGACACAGAGAGACAGAGACAGAGGCTTACAGTGGGACTCCTACCTGCAGTCTCTCAGCTGTCCTGAGGTACTCCCTCTGCAACAGGGCCAACTTCCTGCGCAGCTGAGGGGGGGCAGAGTGTGTCAGGATGTCAGCATCGGAGGAGCTAAAGGTTCATTGTGTCACCGTGTGAAGCTGGTCTACCTTCTCCTTGTCATCATAGTGCAACGTGGTCCTAAGCTGCTCCTCGCGGCGCATCGCATCTCCGCTTTGTCCCCCATGGTGCTCACGCGACCTTTTTCACAAACGCAATGGTTCGACAACACGTTAGCTTAGCATAGCAACAGGGCTAACAGTAAATAGAGTTCGGGCTTGGTAGACGTTACTTTCCTTTCGTGTCAAACAAACACACGGATATCAACGAGTCAACAGAGTCTACGTCACACAAACTAACTGACAAACTAGTGGAAGTAAACGACAATTTGTCCTTATAACAGCATAGCGTTTCATATTGGGGGGGCAGACTCACAGCGGTACCGCCGGTGTGTCCATGTGAAGTTTATTTTGATGTTCGATCGCACGGTTATCGATTTAGTTCCAATTTCCCGCGACCGCCTCAGACAGACGTGAGCAGCAGAGCTCCGACAACTCGATCGGCCCCTTCGACGGAGGAAGCGTGTAAAACGTGAGGTTCACCTTCCCTCCACTTTCATACCGCTTCCAGTCTTTGAGTACGTCAGATTATTCAGACAAAGGCACGATTTTGATAATAAAAATAATTTTATTTGTTTTTATGATCATGGTCAAAAGTCAGTGTCAACCATTTACAAAGTAGTTTTTCATCAAAGTCGTGGTGGGTGTTTATCACCTGAGAGACAGACAGCTTGTGCACATAGAGCTAACTAACCTCAACACTTGAATGCCAAAATAGTAACAAGTGGACAATTGAAGGTACAAACACATAGGCTCGTCTTTCTGAGCCAGTTAGAGTTAAAAAGTCTGAAATGTGAAGTATAGAATAAGTGCAAACCCTGCTCATTTGGCACTTATTGTAGTATTACTGCATTGCAGTTCCGCTGGACGCAGGTGTGGTATCTCTACACCATCACTATTTCATACAGAAACGAGAGTATTCATTACAAAACAGAACATGGTGAGATACGTGGACGGTCACAAAGGATGTTCATGAACACATGTATGTATGTATTGTTTTTTCCTTTCCTCTGTCGCCCTTAGCCGACGTACTGAGTGGTCTTCATTGTGGTCCGTCGGCACATATCTGTGCGCGCGGGACACCCGTCACTAGTTGGGTGCAACGGTCCTGCTCCTCAGACACCCACAGGTGAGGTACTTCATGGCGGTCATGCTGACGTGCATCAGAGGGCCCAGGTTGAAGAGCATGTGGTAGAAGGCGTGCACGGACAGGCCTCCGGTCTCGTCGGCGTACTTCAGCGCCACGATGGGCGTGTACAAGGGGTTGGTCAGGTTACGGAAGCGCGGGCTGCTCGCTTCGATCACCTTCTTCGTCACTCTGGCGATGTCGTCGGGCGTTTGTCCCAGGGTCTCGAAGATGTCAACGGACGACGGCAGGTAGACGTTCTTGAAGTAATTGACCGTGTCGGCGTCGGCTCCAGGGAACTCCTTCTGCTTCACGTCCTGAATCATCTTGGCCTCAAACTCGGTGTGCACCGGGCCCGGCTCAATCATTGACAACCTGAGAGAGACAGAAATCACATCCCCCGTCAGCCTCAAAGCTGGCGTTCGTGGTGCTTATTAGCAGACGGCGGCGTGCTGACTCGCTGCTCCTGTGATGCAGGTGTTGTTATCGGCGGCACTCACGTGACATTAAACTTCAAGAGCTGCACGGCCAGGCTCTCGCAGAAGCCCTCCATGGCAAACTTGGAGGCCGCGTACACGTCATTGAAGACCACGCCTGTGGAAAAAAAAACACAGCCCGATCATCAGCACCGCGTCAGCCTCTCCCTCCCAGCGCGTCTCGCCCTCTCCTCCACTCGTCCTCTCCGCCGCGCTGACCTTGCAGGCCCATCACGCTGCTGACCACGACGATGCGGCCGCCTCTCCGCCTCTTCATGTCGGGCATCACCTCCTTGATCATGCGGATCACCCCGAAGAAATTGGTCTCGAAGACTTTCTTCATCTCGTCGATGGGGATGCTCTCTATGGGACCCACGAGGCCGATCCCCGCGTTGTTCACTTGGCGTGCGTGCGGACGAGAAGAAGAGGGCGGTGTTTAGAGTGCGAACGACCCTTCCGGGACCAATCCCCGCCGGCGCCCGTCTTACTCACCGAGGACGTCCACGTGCCGATCCTTGATGCCGTCGATGCACCGTTTGACGGACTCGTCGGTGCAGACGTCCAGCACGGCCAGGGACAGGGTTTTGCCGTACGCGTCCCCGGCGGCTTCCACCAGTTTGTCTTTGCGCTTCAGGTCGCGCATGGTTGCTATGACTACGAGCAGGCGGAAAATAGGGAGGGGCGGAAAGAGTCGAGAGAGAGATGGTTTCAAATGTATGCGTTGTATCGTCTGCTGTGCCGACTGGTAATATTTACATATATATAAATATGTCTTTATATATATTATGATGTTAATTTGGTCTCTGGACGAAGGAAAACTGTCAACACGTCAACACCATCGTGGATTCGGGAGGACAGGGGTAAAGGTCGCGAGCAGCCGGGAGAATAGTGTCAGACACACACACACACACACGTTAGCTCTCTGAGTGACGGGACGCAACAAAGGCAAAGCTACCGCTAAAGAGAGTTGTTGTGGCATAAACAAAAGAACCGTAAGCAGTTTAGAGGTCGGCATTAGCGCCCTGCCGCTCCAGGAATAACCTCTCGTCAGCCTCTTATCCACAACGCAGCTGAGCTCGGCGGCCCGACGGGGTCGCCGCTCGGTGCGACACGTTTCCAAAGGGCGGTCAAAGGTTAAGTCGGGATCAGCGGGAGCTGTTACTTCATCTAGAAAACGTGATGTAACACTGGAATAAAACGATGGATACTTGTCTTTCACTGTAACAAGTTTTTAAAAAAATGATGTACTCCCACATGGCGTGAAAATCAACAATCAACAAAAAACAACAATGGTAACATCCTTTAAGTGGACCGCAATTAATCGCACAAAAAAATGAGATATAAGGAGATGGAGATCCGTCCTCTGCAGAATCAGTGGCTTTAATCCACGTGATCATGTGGGCGATGTAACCGTGTTATGATGCCAAAATGATATTCTCTCTCTCTCACACACACACAGACACACAGTGCAGTTACCGTGGTAGCGCTGCTGCTGGTCCTTGGCCAGCATCACGGCCATCCTCAGGCCGATGCCGGAGGAGCAGCCGGTGATCAGCACCACTTTCTGCCCGGGACTCGCCATGGCTGCCGCTGCCTCTCTGCTCCGGGACAAAGTTTACCAACAGGTCAGCAGCTCTGAGGGATGAGAGGCGAGTGGGAGGAGGGGGGAGAGCCCTCGTAAGAGGATAAAAGAGAGAGAGAGAGAGAGAAAGTGTCACATGGGCGAGATTATCTACTCGCTCCATCCTGCGGGAGTCGAGTCCAACCTCTGTGTTTCGTGACGGGAGGATTTAAATGGCGTTGTCTCAAACTTCATAAACCGCCTGACCTCCACTGACCAAACAGTGTGAAGAACAAATTGATAAAAAGCATTTTGAAGACATGTCAGTGTGTGGCTGGGCGGCCTGTGGCGCCCCCTAGTGGCCAATATGAACCCTGAAAATCTGTCTACTGCAACTCAGTCAACGGAAAGACTGCTTTGCCTTCACTATACGTGCCTGCAATGTTTTAAGTTGATGATTATTATTATTATTATTATTGTATATTGGTTATTTCTATAGGTGCACATTTGGTGCTCAGTTATCAATACACAATAAAAATGGTCTCCGACTGTCCATCAATAACATTTTTGGACCTTTTTCTTGTTGTCCCTTTAGCCATTCTTTCTCTTAATACTGATTTTCCACTGCTCCATTTGGTCCACTGTCCTGTCCGTCTGTCCCCGTGTCCCCTGCCCATCCTTCCGTCTGTCGGTGTTGTCGCGGACCGTGCAGACTAAGTGTGTGTGTGTGTGTGTGTGTGTGTGTGTGTGTGTGTGTGCGTGTGCACGTATGCGTGTGTGTGCATGCAGCATGTCAGCGTTCTTCACCCCATAAACGTCTCCCTAAAACGTCCCTGAAGCCTCCCGACGAGCTGCTGGCTTTCTTCTGACCTCACGGTTAAAGTGTGACAGCAGCTCGATGGCGGCGGGAACATGTTTATTGAGCCGAGAGGAAGAATATGAGTAAAGTGTAAAGTGGGCAAAGACAGACAGGCACTGGAATTTGGAATCTGCAGCAGCATATCTTCTTTTTTTATTCGGCAGCAGCGTTGTCCTGTCCCAGCATGCTTTGTGTGTGTCAGTGTGTGTGTGTGTGTGTGTGTGGGCGGGGGGGCGTGCGTGCTTGTAGAGAGTTAGAGAGCAGAACATTACATTTGTTTATATGCATTTATTTCCCTACAGATTCTTTGCTAGCGACTCCATCGAATACACTTTAATTTATTGTGTGTGTGTGTGTGTGTATACTGCCAAGGACCATCAAAACTTTACCGGCCCGATAGAACTTTCGTTCGATCGGTTTTACCCCATATCGCAAACTTGTTACTGGTTGTGCCCCGTTTTTAACATCCCTCAACAGTCTGCAACTGAGAGGTTGACATCATCGGATAATAGGTGATACGCTGTGATACGTGTGGCACTGCGTGTGACCATATCTAAAGTAAAGATGCTCTTTGCATTAATGATGAATAGTTAGTCGTAGTACGTAGCTTTAAGATGCCCTCGGGTGAGCAGGCCTAGATAGTTTCGACTGGGATGGCTTTTCA